AAAACTTCCTTCTCTCTCAAACTCAAAGAGGGTCTTTACATTCGTAAACACAAACCAGACCTTAACAAACAGGTTCAGCATTTTATTACTATTTTCCAGTTATAAATAATTTTTGTTGTTATGTTCTGTCTTTTGTGTTGGCTCACTTAGTATGCATATTCTGTATCCTGCTATGCTGTCAATCATTTTTGTAAATAATCAAGTTATTCATTGAGTATCACCTCGCATGTTTACATCATATTTCTACTTTATATAATTCACAATGTAAATAATCTATTCATTCGCACTGAAGATGGCTTATAGTTAAGTCGAAACATGTTTGCCTTAAAAAATTTTGTCATTTATTTTAAATGCATAATGATTTGCATTTGAGTATATAATAAGATGACCATAAAATTCGGGAATGTGTAGGAAATACCACGACACGATGACTACAATACTGTATAGACGAGTAACTGTTACAGGACATAAACCACATTTACACAACATTCAATTTACCGGCAACGTTATACGGCTAAAAATCGCTACCCATACCCATTTATCCGCGCTTGACATTTGTATTGGTAGTCTGAACACTAATAAAATTGGGTACGTGTGCTAATTTTTTCCCTGCCGTGCCAATAAATATAAGGTGCAGAGTAAAAGGGGCTATATTTATTATGAGGATTCATAGATGACACTTTCCAGAACAGCATTAAAGAAGTGAATGAAAATAAATGCGTACGTCTGTTCTGTGCTCGTGGACCAAGTTATCTGGAAATCATAATTATATTATCACGGGCCGCGGAACACTTGGGCACGACTCAGTAGAGTTTTGTATGTAGCAAAATGTTGCATTGCCGTTGTAATTAATAATAAGACGCCTGCTCAAGGCGTTCACTCCGCCTGCATGCCAACTGATGTATACCTAATTCATCCGTGGACCGTGTAACCCAGGGCTTCTCGGTCAAAACGTTTTGGGTTATCTGTGGAAATGCCAACTTCTGTCGCCCAAAACGACGAAAAGGAAAAAAGACCATGGCATTTTAAGACTCCGCTGCGCATACGCAGGCGGAGTAATTATGTAAAGTAATTCAGTGAATTTCACTGTCTTCGCAGATGTATGGGGGTAATTGTAATATAGTTCGGTATGAGAAAGTGTTCTTTTTTGTCAGTGCTCCGTCCCATTTTCTAAATGACGTCCTATTTTCTAAATGGTTCTGCAGCCCTTGAGTAAAGTATGTACTTCGAAGTAGATAAACACTTAACACTGTTGTGAGAGTAACATGAATTAACTTAGCAGCAGCTCTCTCAAAAGGATTTCCCCTACTTAAAATCGCCCCAAACAATGGTTGCAAGCAGACGTGAGTGAAAAACATTAATTCAGAAACAATGCCCATCCTGTGATCTCAAAAATATAGTCAAGTGGTCTTCTGCAACCCTGAAGAACAATGTTTTCCCTAACTTGGATCAATATAGTCTTGCATAAATCTAAAAACTGATTACTTCCCACCCAGAGTATTCATAAACATTCGGCGTAAAAAACATTAAACAGATGGCACTCCACACATCAACAGTGTGTGTCAAGGTTATGTTTTCTAATTCATTATCTGAATTAGAGAGAAAATGGCTTACTTTTCATACACTCTGCATAGCATTTTCGAATAAGTATACTCTGTGGAATTCAAATTAGCGAGGCTATATGTTGGATTCACCCAATAAGGCATGCACTGTAATATACAAGGAGGGCAGGTTTACCAACTTTCTTTCAAGAATATATCATCAAAATAGAAAATGTTTATTTTGTCCTAACTAAATCTGAATTCCAAGGTAGATATACAGTACTTTTGTGCAAGTGACATGAACTTGGCTGCAATTTTTTAGCGGCATTCCCGATGAGGCCTATTCACTATTTGAATTCTACCAGTAAATTACACCAATAATTGGATAGCGAACCACAGTAGTAAAATATCGTCGGCGCGAAAGGACATAAAAAATTACACTCCTTCTACATTGTGTATAAAAAGGTAACGCTAGGCTTTCTAATGAAAATCAGTCGACTATTTAATCTTATTTTTTTAATCTGGTGCCCGCGCGCTTTGGCGCAAATGATCGTAAATGAACAGAATTTTCGCAAAAATACCTAATTTCTACAGTATATTTCCAATGAGAATTACAAAGACTAACCATTTTGGCATAGCTTGAGAAAAAAGTTCGATAATGTGCACTTCACTGAAAATTCAAATTAGTGAGGCTATATTGGATGCAATTAAAGGAGATATTTAAATAAGAAACTGTTTTAAGCAATACAGATATACGACTTGGTAAGGTATAACTGTTCTAACATGAAAAATGAAGTTTTTGTGATGCTTTGAATCTGGGTTACAAAGAAAGCATGAGTTAAGAAAGACTTTTTATACATTCCGTATAACAAGAAAAAGTGTAGTTAATAAAAATTCAAATCAGCTAGACTATATTGGATTCACAAAACGAACTATTCAAATAGCATTGGAGTATTCGATATGAATTAGAAGGTGCATGCCTTTAGCAACTTTTTTTCGAATTTACCATCACAAAAATAAGTTTTATTTTTGTTCCCATAAATTCCTAATTCCAAAGTAGATATACTTAACACTATTGTGCACTTGTGAAAGGACTTGACCTACTTAAAGTCGCCCCAAGCAAAAGTTAAGTAATCGTGCATACATTACAGCGTTAACTCAGAAAAAACTACATCTTGTGATCTCGAAAATATGGTGGTCGTGCGTAAGGTACAACAAGAACATTTAAGTATTCGATATGAATTAGAAGGTGCATACCTTTAGCAACTTTTTTTCGAATTAACCATCACAAAATTAAATTTTATTTCTGTTTCAATCAATTCCTAATTCCAAAGTAGATATACTTAACACTATTGTGCAAGTAACATGAACTCGGCCGCAATTTTCCGCTGTACTTGTGAAAGGAGAGGAGCAACTTAAAGTCGCCCCAAGCAATAGTTAAGTAATCGTGCATGCATTACAGCGTTAACTCAGAAAAAAAACTACATTTTGTGATCTCGAAAATGTGGTGGTCGTGCAGAAGGTACAACAAGAACATTTGAGTATTCGATATGAATTAGAAGGTGCATACCTTTAGCAATTTTTTTTCGAATTTACCATCACAAAATTAAATTTTATTTTAGTTCCCATCAATTCCTAATTCCAAAGTAGATATACTTAACGCTATTGTGCAAGTAACATGAACTTGGCCGCAATTTTCCGCTGTACTTGTGAAAGGAGTGGACCTACTTGAAGTCGCCCCAAGCAATAGTGAAGTAATCGTGCATACATTACAGCGTTAACTCAGAAAAAAACTTCATCTTGTGATCTCGAAAATATGGTAGTCGTGCGTAAGGTGCAACAAGAAATGCCTGTTCTTTGTTTGTCGAAGAAAAAAATGATTAAAAAATGCTTTCTTCATACATCATGTACAGCAAGTCCGAAAAAATGCACTTCATGAGTCAGATAAAAGGGCGATTTAGCACGACGACGTTAACGTCAAAGACGACGTGAAAATGGCGAATAAATGGCGTGATGCGCCCAAATATGGACATGCCACGCCATTTACTCGCCATTTTCACGTCGTCTTTCACCTTCACGTCTTCATGCTAAATCTCCCTAATTATTGGCTGTGTGACCAGATCTGATCACAGCGCCACCTGCATGATTTTGATATTTACCACAATCAAACCAGGATCAGACGATTAATCTAACTAAATTCAAGCAGCTTTGGTTAAGAATTTACATATATGGTCCAACTGATATAGCTTCTAGTGTCTCAGGCCACTGTCTATTAATCCACGGTACTTGCATGGCTTGTGTGCGTGAACACTGTTGTGATTGTCTCACTATTTAACACAAAAACTATTTTTAAATATCGGCACATTATTATAAAGAAATAATCAGAAGACGTCTTTGTTCGTGTTAATGAAATCTTAATGCATCACACTCACTGGGAAAGTTCGAGACGCTGCTATATAGTGCAGGGATCGCGACCAAACGAGTTAGAGGTACTTTGAATGAAATTAAAAACATAAAACCAGTCTTTATAAGTATCATACTACAGCGCTAATTGGGCTGTCTATATGTGCATCCGACTGGCTCTAGAGGAAAAAATGTACCAAATCTGGCTACACTGGGAGCAACCGTCAAACCTGACAAACGTAATAAAAGTATCCCGTCGGCATTAGTACACTCCCACGGTCGGCACTCGTCCTTCAGCGTTGAATGTCTTTGGCTGGCTCTTCGGTAATTATTTCTGGTTTTTATAAAACTTTTTACAAAATATTTTTAGAGATATAGTTTGCGATATGACAGTTTCATTGCTGACGTTTTCATTCAAATACATTTTTAAATGTATTTAAAGATACAGTAACTAAAAGACACAGAGCTGGAACTGGTGTACCTACTTTTTAGTGCGCATGCTCGGCAAGTGCCTGAGATTTAAAGTATAAACAATTCTGTAATTTGTATGTGCATAAAATGCTATATAAATGACGATTTTGTAAAGCTTAAATTAATCGAAAATCTTTGAGCAAAAAATCCATGCCCATTTTGAATATTTCAGGCACTCGCCGAGCATGCGCAGTTTGCCACGTTTAGCTCACGCTCACTAAAAGAGCGGGTACAAAAAACGGCGTATTTAATTACTATACGCCATCTAGTTCCAGCTCTGTATCTATATTGTTTACTCTGTGAACACGAATCAGCAGGTTGCTGGTTACCAGCTTTCACGCGTTCATCAATCAAATTTCGCAAATTCGCAAAACATTTAATCAATTACAAATTACATTTAATCACTTGTAATCTGATTATTCTTTAACACAATAGAACCGGCCTGACTGTGTTTTTGTTCTGTAAAGAAAAGCGCCCTTAGGGGCTGTTTATATGAGCCCGGCTACCCGAGATTCAATGAAGCGTGAGATGATTTTGAGGTATTGAAATGAGCAGATAACATGATCCTGGCAGTCATATAATCACCACAACAATAGTATGATTGTGCTTGTTTGGTGTCATAAAGACTAATTTCAATACCTCAAAGTCCTCTCACGCTCCGTTGAATCTCGGATAACCGGGCTCACGTAAACAGTCCCTTACATTCAATCTTTTTGCGCAGGGAAAACGTCTTGTTTTTCTCTTCTTACTTGCCTGGTTTCTAACCACTTCATACAAATATTGTACACTTTTGTTTGTTCCGTTTCTTTCGCCATGTTTCCTATGGTTCTCACATCATCAACCCTGTCGCTTGCCACAGCAATGAGGTAGGCTGTTTTAAGGCGACGGAAACGTATGTAAGCTGCAACCTGTATATAGAAAAACAGTGAACTGTTTTAAATAATGTTTTTTTCTACTAAAAAAACAAGAACCACATGCTTTATTCGTGAGGAACCTTACAATAAACTTGTGGATACTAATCCTCTAAAAGCAATAGTCGAGTTTTGCAACTGCACGTGGCTTAAAATGTTGTGTAAATGTTTTTCCATGTATATACACTCTTAGCTATATACTGTATATCTTGAAAAACTCTATTGTATTGATTTCACACACTTTTGAATATTTTTGTATTGAATCTAACAGTACAATTTGACAGCATAATACACACAGTACTATGGCACCCCTAAAAATCGGTGCTGTGCACCATTGTGGAATAATATTGTTGTACGGTATATGAGAAATTGAGTTTGTTTCAAACAAGACAATATTTATATACCTTCTTTCCTTCATCTTTTAAAGACTTTATAAGGGCCTCTGCTTGCTTCCACTATCAAAAAGAGTGACGATACTAAGTAACTTTAATCTCATCTGACCAAAATCATGTGAATTCCTTCCCATGAGCTAAAGGAACTTTAACTAATTTTGAAAAAATCTATACAAGATTGCATAATTATTGGAGAATTTTATAAGTGGTGCATTTTGAAATGGTTAGCTATGTACAGTACCACCTGCGAGTATCGCTCGTTAGTAACGAGTAGTGAGTGTGCAATTTACTCGCAAGTAACGTATGAGAATTGATCTTGGATACTTCAGAAAAGACGAACTTTAGAGAATTGATGTTGGATACTTGAGAAAAGAGGAACTTCAGAGAATTGATCTTGGATACTTCAGAAAAGAGGAACTTTAGAGAATTGATCTTGGATACTTTAGAAAAGACGAACTTCAGAGAATTGATCTCGGATACTTCAGAAAAGAGAAACTTCAGAGAAATGATCTCGGATATTTTAGAAAAGATGAACTTCAGAGAATTGATCTTGGATACTTCACAAAAGATGAACTTCAGAGAATTTATCTTGGATACTTCAGAAAAGATGAACTTCAGAGAATTGATCTTGGATACTTCACAAAAGATGAACTTCAGAGAATTTATTTTGGATACTTCAGAAAAGACGAACTTCAGAGAAATGATCTTGGATACTTCAGAAAAGGTGAACTTCAGAGAAAAGATCTTGGATCTTTCAGAAAAGATGAACTTCAGAGAAATGAACTCCAGAGAAATGATCTTGGATACTTCAGAAAACACGACCTTCAGAGAATTGATCTTGCATACTTCAGAAAAGTGTTGGAGATAGGAAATTATGGAACAAGATTATAAACAATAAAGAGAAATATCAGTACATTTTATATTATAATATTTTAAAATTATTGTAAACTCCAACGTACGTTTCAGCTAAGTATCGTTTTTTCCATTTTTTCATATCGTTTTGGTCGGTTCGGATAAAAAAATATTTCCCCTCGGTTTCAAAAACGTCCCTCTGCCTGCGGCCTCGGGTCATTTTTGATACCTCGGGAAAGTATTTTTCTATCCGGACCTCGCAGCCGGTAAATAACATATATTTATCTATCTGTGTGCACAAAAGTTGAAATACGGAGTCGCCTTACCTTCCTGTCATCATCCGTTAACATTCCAAGCAAAGTAATAACAACGCTATCATGATCTTTATCATTCATCAATCGAGTTTGCATTGCGTTTGATAACAGAAGTTGAATTTCACTGAATTTCTGCTCACTTGCTAACTTTTCTGCAACTATTTTGTACACATGAAAGGTGGGCATTCGAAAATCCTGAGAACAAACGAAAAAAATTCAGCCTGATCTTGCGGAAGGCAAGGGGGGGGACCACTAGGCAAGCCGCGAGACCGAGAGGAGGTTGCGACCACGTTTGCCATTTCAAACCATAAACTGTTTCATTGCAGCTAGTTGTTTTAAAACTTAGCGACCCCATCAGATAAACACGCTGTGTATTAACAAATTACGGGGTAAACAACTACAGGGAGCAAATAGTGACAGGTGGTGAGGATATTATAGTTCTTAGACATTACTAAAAAGCTTGCAGCTGGCTTGGCAGAGCCCCCTAGGCCTGGTTTTCATTTAACCGTAATTGTCGTGTTTATGATCGTAGATGGTGTATTATAACATGGTTATGGTATGCAGTCAACATGACCGATTTGATTACAGAAAATAAAGCTCTTCATGCATGCAAGCCCTGGGGAAGTTACTCCGCCATGTTTAAATAAGCCTGAAATAATAAAATTAATATTCTTTTTAGAGCCTGTTTATATGGAGCGAGTTAGTTATCCCAGCTGGGCGAGGTGAAAACTGCATATAATGAAAGACTGATCAGTTTAAGCCTTAGATATGATGTTTGATATGATGCGCTTTTCATCTCGCCTAGCCGGGATAACTCGCTCCATATATGCAGGCCCTAAAGACGGTTTTCCACTAGCGATAACTTTCGCGCGAAGCAAGATTTTACTTTTGCTCCAGAGCTCTCAACTGCAACCACCTGGAACAAGTCGCTTCCGCAAAGATATCGCTAATGGAAAACCGGCTTTACTGTTCGATAAAGATTGTCGAGTAACTTAACGTACACTAGCTATACCTGAATTATTCTACATGACAAACTGAAACCATCATCGACGGTATTGCCTGCCAGTAACACCTTGATCAAGAGAATATTGAAAAGATTATAGAAATGACAATTTAACGCTTGCTCTACACCGCCAAGTTTTGCTGCGACTTTAGATGCAATTTTTTCTTTTGACATGGATGCAAACGAGCCAATAACTTGGAAGTTTTATGTTATCTGTTTTATGTTATTTCATTAATAAAGCTATTTCATTAATAATTTTTCCTATAAAACCTTTCAAATATCTATCATAAGAAGTATATGGCAGAGCGTTAGGAATTCGATGTATCTTCTAGTTGAGTGAGGGGTGGTCGGTGTGGGGTTAATATGTCAGGGAATTTTTTCTACCGAAAGTACTGACAGCTTGGAGAGGCACCCGCGCCCAGCAATATATACGCATGCACCTGCAATTTGAACTTTATACAATAACGTAAAGAGGCTCGATAGACCGCAATTTTGAGCACGTGGTGTAAATTGATGCTTTCTGATGCCACGACGAAACACGTTATTAGGTAATCTATGACTTACCATTGAAACTACGTTACATTTGACGTTAGCATTGTCAAACAAGGTGCCAATTTTCTCTGATTTTCCCTTATTTCGTCGGAAAGTTCCTTCCACCAAACAATTATACATAAACTTCGTCACATCAATCTGTAGAGTTATTGTATTCATATAGTTGGTCAGTTCTGTTGGCGTGATTGCCAAACGAGATTTATCTTCGTTCGATTCTCCAAGACTCTTCTGCAGCGAGCTAGACACCATAGCAAGCGTCCCTTTCTTCGATTGTTGGTGTTTCCGTACTGCTTGGAGGTGCGAAAGTGCATCTTGTAGGTAGTTCAACCTTGAATGTAGATCTGTGTAGTTGGTGGCAACGTGATGGGGCAAACCTTGGTAGAACTTGATACACGTCATTGCTGCCCGGAAATAATCCTTTGCAAAATTTGAAGAAAATTTAATCAGAACCAGGCTTGCTGAACCCAGTAGTACGCTTGCTTAGTAAAAGGGTGATAAAGATGTTGAAGTGTCTTTTTAGCGGTTTTTTTTGTGTTTTGAGTGTTTATATAGATCTTCTTATGGGTATTTTTAACATCCCTTAGGAGTTTTTATTCGTCTGTTTACTAAATTGACAGGTTTGTGCCAATCCTCTCCGAATTCAATGCTATTTTCATTCTCTATGGTGACCAAACGAAGCCAATATCAATTGTGTAAGGCAATTTGCGATTTAAATGCATTGTGTTTTTAGATTTTCATCTGTCATGCAAAATATGAAAAAGAACGAAAACTCTGAGGACAATATTAAACTCGGCATGGAAAATGATATTATATACGCATAACAGTTTAGGATATAAAAGGTGACTATTTGCCGAAATTTGAAAACTATTCTAACTATAAAGGGGACTATTCGTCTATTAGACAAAAACTATTCGTCTAAGACTCGTGGCCATGCAACTGTTTTGCTCTAACTACGTTCTCACGTAGAAGAATGAAATGTATTTATTATATAAGCAGAAAAAGAAAGGCTCGGTTTTTATGGTGTCTATATACCTTCATCAGTAACTGCACTCGATACAGAACATTAAGCAAGTTGGATCGGTTGAGATATCTGCAAGCGCCATTAAGATGAGGCATCCATACTTCTAACGATGGATCGAACATTTTCAGCAGGTCACGCAGCTGGTCAAACTGACCATGACGTATTGCGGGCATCAAAAGGTGTTCAGTAAAAATGTCAGGAGCACATCTCTAAGCAAATAAAATCAAGAAGATACAATCATCTAAGCCTCGAAATTACTTGTCGGAAACGACTTCTTGGCGTAAGAGATTTATGCATGGTCGTCTCAGTGAAATTTGGGGGCCTAGGGCAAAATCCGGGGCCCTTTCACTATAAGCAAAGTTTACTCCTATTTTATCTTATTACATCGCATCTGTAAACCCGTTTACACCATAAGCTATATGATTTATTGTTACAGCAAGGATAAAATTGGCATCGGTATTTGGTACCCATTTTTTATACATTCTCGGCCTTTCGGATAAAATTGGTACAGCTACCCATTTTAGCTGTGCCGTGCCAAGAAAACTATGGTTTGCAAGTTTTTTACAGGGGAGTAAAATTTCAACTAGTTAAAAATATGGTTAGCGACGACATTGGGTATTTCCTTACTAAAAACGTTCAAATCAACAACAGCATAACAGAATGAAAACGTGGTCAAATCGCTAAAAAATTATACGAAATATGATACTAAATGTGTATTTTGTAAGAAATTGTGAATTAGAACAAATAGTTAAGTACAAAGCGTTTGAGTTGCCATTGTTATAAAATTGTTATCACCTTTAACTAATTTTACCATGGGTGTGCGATCCTTCCTGGATTGCCCCTTTTGCCCCCCCCCCCCTGAGAGGCCCTGTTTATGGTATATATGCTAGATTAACCGACATACCGATCACCCGACAAGAATGAGTATATAATATTACATACATAGTAGCTATACGTCCAAGACATTTTACAAAAAAGTCTGAGAAGTTTGCCAGTACGAATAGAACGGGAGTAAATGCAGGAGTAAAACACATCGATCCATATGCATAGAAGATGCATATTCAATGAAACATAATAATGTTTTTGACTGTGATTATAAGTTTGACATTTTATGAAGTTATAATTAACAGTAGCTTTGTATACAAAATAATCTTAGCATATAATCACGAAATTAGTTGAAGCTTTTAACGGTCTTGGACCCTCTCAATTTCACAAAATAAACAAACTGTCAGTACCTTCTCCAATATGAACCTGCAGGCCAGTTTCAAATAGTTGTGGTTAACATAAAAGGTAACAACCCCAGAATATGAACCGTACATATTCAGGTAGAAAATGCATTCTTCAAAACGTTTTTGATCCATAATTCGTGTCCCGTTGGTATTCTGTCAAAAGGAAATAAATCGACGAAAAAATGTTAAATCAAGATGATAATACAAGATTCTCCTCGGCCTACACATGTGGTCTCGTAAAGTATAGGTATTAAGATGGGTAACTATATAAAAATAGCTCTCTAAAACATGTCTAGTCTAGCAGTTATACTGCTTACTTTTGCATGCTCACGTAAGCTAGCCAAACTCGCGGCAAGATCACCCTATAGAAATGACAAAATATATACTGTTATAAAAAAGCACACACAAAAACTAACGGAGAGTCAGATTAGCTAACTTCTTTAACTATATAATTTCCCCACAAGTCGTTTTCTGTCGTTGAAAAACCTATTTTGTGTGAACTGTAGTTGCGCATTAAATCATAATCCAATCCACTTTTAGACGAGGGGCACGTTGTATAAAAGCGTAGTTAACTTTTAACTATAGTTGATGACAGAATTGACCAATGAGAGTCGTGCATGTATTTCTGAGTTAATTACGATTTAACCACACAAAATGTATTTAAGAGTTTTATACAACCTGCCCCTAGTAGGCTTTTTAGGGGAAAGTGATGGAGATGGATGAGCCCCGAAGGCATAAAAACAGGCAAATGGGCCACTGCAGAGCAACATTTACCTAGTATTTTGGGATTTTTCTATCAACCATTAACGGACCTCTGCTATTTATCTTAATTTGGTTAAATACCGCAAATCATAATTATTCATATAATAATAACGTTTTGGTTACAATTTAGCACGTCGCTATAGCTCAAGATCGGGATAAATTTAATGCTTTTGGATTTTACATCGACTTCAGCAGAAAATAGTGTTTTGATTACATACTTTCAGTTTCATACGAAGCACAACTTTCGGTCTCAGAGGTTTGGAGCTCAAATTTGAGGAAAAATAAAAATCACCGGCCTAAACTTCCAGCTGATGATATTGTTCAAGTTTACCGAAATGCTCACTGACGCAACCTTGTTAATTTTGTCAATAATGTGCTTACAACAATGAGGTAGTCGAATGACAACATAGGAGATGTTTCCAGAATGTCAATGATCATCTTGAGATAACGTTGGTTGCCTTGTGTTGTTTTACCACGTTCTGATGGCTTCAAAGCAAGAAGACATGGGTATTAATATGTAAAGATATTCATATGCAAAGACAGAATAGCAGCATATACCTTCAGGAATTTATTGAATTTCTTACGAGCTTCCTTAAATTGTCCGACTTGAAGGTAAGCCAGGCCCCAGGCCCCCCAGACAGCTCCCGGATCAAGTCCACATTTTGTAGTTACCTCCATCGCCAAGGACAGACTTTCATTCTCAATCAATTTGTCGCGAAGTCGCCTGAGAAAAGGAGAATTTATAACTTACATAATTTTGGTGGAATACATGAATGTCCAGTAGTTAATTGCACATGCATAAGTGATATCTCACAGTAAACAGGGTAAGAGATTGCGCGTATTGCTGAATTCTGGAATATTTAAATATTTCTATTCGTATATGGGGATGGATATATAATGTCACTTGGCAACGCATTTGCGAAAGTTTTAATCTCGAAATCGTTCTTAGATGCAAAAATCCTGCGAAAAAAGCGAGCAGTGTTTCTTTTAGATGCTAACATTAACGTTTGAAAGACTTGTATGCTGTTCAGCGATTACAAATTGGGTGATATTGTAAAAAGCAGAGTGCAGATATGACCTAAAGTTGGCTATAGCAAACTGACGAGGTCCCTCATGCACTGATTTTGGGTGATTCGATTAATTGGAACATACTCAGTCAAATCTATAATGATATCATGCACATAGAGCGCAGATATATCATATATAACAGATAACATACCTTGCAGACTGGGAAGACATCAAGTCTTCAATCGATGGCACTTCATAGAAATTGGATTCTATGAGGAATTTTACCAACTCCACACGACTCATGTAACTAAAGAGCAAAGATATGACACGCCTTACTCAGACGGTGAAATCATACACAAATATAATTAACCTTTATGTTAGCCAGCATACATAAGAAAGTTTTCTCTCGTCAATGATTGCACGGCTATGTCAACATTACAATCGTCAACAATTAACAGTTATTCTGCGAACTCGAGTCGCATATGAGCTGATAGCCGACGAGAGTTGGCTATCGGCCATATACGACGAGAGTGAGCAAAATAACTGTTTTATTATATACACAAACTTTGTCGCCCTTTCGGTGCATTTTGGTGTGCTATTATCAACTAAAGCTTGGATTTCTATTTCACTCAACTCCCCAAATCTTTCCGCTATTTTGTTTACTTTCTCTACTAGACAGATATGAGCTAATATCTGTCTAGTAGCCAACCAATGAAATTGCAGCATACCTCATATCTGGCGCTTGTGTATATAATAATATACGATATTCCAACAATATACGAGTGCTCAATCGTCAAATCTTTTACCTGGGAATGAAATGAAAGACACGAAAATTTGCTCATACTCACGTGTCACATAGTTCCACCCCGTGAGTTTCACCACAATTCGTAAATTTCAACTTAGCATGATACAACAGTTGACAGATGATGCTGGAAAGAAAGTACATACTTCTTCTTACACAGTTGTTCGGTCGAGACAATTTGTTTCAATAATCTGACTAGTCTGTCTTTACAGAGTATATGCATATATGTTTTGTTAAATTTTTCACCTTATTAACAGATTGTTGTCAATTTCTTCGCTCATTCCCAGTTTCTGTGACAGTTTATTGCAAAGGTCGAGCAAAAGCTCTGCACAGGTTTTACTATCGCCATGCAACGCTAGGATCGAGGTGCATAGAGACGAACTAGGAGCCTGCAAGATAAATAAAAATCAGGTGGAAATGAGCGTAGCAGGGTCTTTTGATAATGGTGTTTGGTTTGTTTGGCACAAGACAAGGCCAAGGGGGGAGTCATGACAACTCAAGCTTATCATTTTGTCGTGAGATCACTGAGGATATATAATAAAAAAAGCTCCAAAGAACAACATATAAAACAAATTTGCGGTGATTTTTTGACTTCATCTCAAAGTCATTCTCGACCAATTCTCACTTGTTTGAAAACGACTTTGAAATAAAGTCGAAATATTACCGCTAAAATTGTTGTTTTGTTTTATATCTTCAGTTTACAAGATGTTGTTTTTTGGAGCATATGACTTTTCTATTTATTTCATCAAAGTCTGCTGTTAATAAAGGCATATTCAACATAGCACATATGCATTCAACATGTCAGATTGACCTCACATGCCGTTGAAACGTTTCAAATGGGCCTCAACAGCAAGTTCACAGCATGTTGATAAATATATTTACTCTTACACATAAACAATTTAAAATAATATAGATAATTAACAGGGGGAAATGGCAAGGTAAACGAAAAAGATTACACCTTTCCTCAAATTTTATTACATTATTAGCGATAAAAATACACATTCATATAATATATGCAAACAGCTATACTCAATTCTCTACCAAAGGCAGCGACGCTTTATAGTCAGAGAAATTAGGGCCACTAAAATCAAAAACAAGCAGTCAAAACTGGAGACCTGATCCCTTTGGCTTCATAAATCATGTGCTCAGTGGCGTAGCCAGCCTGACGATTTAGTCATGCTATGCAAATTTTACGTTATTATCATTATTCATTTCTTTAGAAATTCATTGTTTTCACAGTCAATGAACACCAAAATATTAGCATAGCATGACTAAATTGTCGGGCTGGCTACGCCACTGTATGTGCTAAATAACATACAACATTCATTATACAAAATTAATAATGATACTTCTTGGTGAGATCGTTAGAGCAATTTAACCTATATTGGTGTGTATCAACGTCCACAAATCACCAACTTCACGTATTTGGCGAGCACAGTTCCAAATTAATGTTAACGTAGGTTGCAACCTATGTTGGCAGATATAACCGTTAAAGACCTCCGCAGAGGCTTCGAATGCAAATGCGCTAGATTTTTAAAGATGACCGCTGCTGAAATTAGAAAAGCGGGCGAGGGTGCCCGCGTTTCTAATTTAAGCAGCAGCGGTCATAAAAAGCCATTAAAGACAATAAAAAGCCATTTGTGGGGGCTGCAAATTTTAAATGAGCTACAGGCTACAGCAGGAAATCCGTAGTTCTCACTAGGAGGTGTTAATGTGCGGGCGAGCTATAAGTCCAGGCTGCATCGTTTTTCCCGTATCTTACATTGGCTTCAGGGATCGAAAAAGATTGCCGTGAGGCAGTTCAAACATATTGTAGTGAAAACATATTGTTGTCGTGATTTCTGGCAAACAATATGCACTATAACGAACAATCCTTAAATGGTCGAAGAAATTAAAATTGCTTAAATATTTAAATGCCATTTAATGCGGGATACAGTTGACTAATTTCAGCCAATGAAGCTAATAATCAAACTGAAACTTCGTCAAAACAAAACAATAATATCGATTCAGCTTTTTTAAGCGATATGGCGCAAGGCTACGAGGATTGTAGATTCAGAGGTATTGTTGATGACAACCTTCGTTGTTTAATCTGCAAGGGTGTTCTACGAGATCATGTACGATGTGAAAACAATGAACACTATTTTTGTCGACATTGCATTACAGCTTCACTTGAGAAATCACAACAATGTCCTGAATGTGAAGACAGTCCTACAGTTGAAACACTTGTCAACGTCCAGTCTGGTATTGCCGAAAGATTATCAGAGTTGGAAATCTCTTGTCGATACAAACAACACGGTTGTGAGAAGGTGGTGAAACTAGGCTCCGTTGAAGCACACGAGATTAGTTGTGGTTTCAGCAAAGCGGCGTGTTCGCAGGACGAATGTGATACCGATTTAAACCCTTCAGAAAGACTGGATCAGGAAGCCAGTGTTGTAAGTGACTCTTGTGAGACTAAAGGATCTAAAACATTCCCTTCACGAGATCCACTTCATGAGCTAAAAACTGACTTGAATGAATTTCGCTCTTTTGTTAAAAATGAAATAGTAAATGAATTACGAAAACTGACCACAACAGTTGCTAGAATCGAGGAAAACTACATACATTCAAGTGGGAGGTGTCAGGATAAAGCAGCGGAAATTGTTTTGGCCGGCGGAGAGGGAATCAAATCGACGATAGTCTTGAACGTGGTCAGCGGAAAATGGCGATGCTTGGCTGCAACGTATGAATGTGAAGGCGCGAGTTCAGTCGTGGATGGGAATCAGATGCTTGTTACAGGGGGGAGCGTCGGGGAATTGACCGACATCATTAAGCAGCTCGACCTTTCCCAGCACAATGCTCAGTGGATTGAATCACAGTTTCGATTACCGTTCGCCTGTCGAGGTCACACAACTGTCCTCTTTCGAAACAGTTTCTACGTCATGGGTGGGCTCACGGAGTCCCAAGATTTAGCCCTTGATACTGTTCACGTGATTCCATTGACCCCTTCCTATAAACCAGAGTTGGTGTGTAAATTACCGGAACCCAAATGTTTTCATGGCGCGACGGTGCTGAACGACAAGATCTACATCATCGGTGGTTGTAAGCAGTACACGGACACAGCCTCAGACGCTGTTACAGAATATGATCCTGTGAAAAAATGCACGAAACAGCTCAAGTCGCTCCCATATCCCGTCACCGGTATGGCGACGGCGAATTGGCAGAACAAAATCCTAGCGGTTGGTGGCATCAACCGAAAAGGTAAGTACCTGGATTCTGTCATCATGTACGACATCAGCACGCAACGTCATCATATCTTACCCCGGATGGGAAAAAAGAGAGCATATTGTACAGCGGTCGTTGTCGGCAACAAGTTGATAGTGATGGGAGGTGCTGATGAACGAAGTTCAAGGATAAGTTCGGTGGAATGTTACGACTTTCAAACTTACACGTGGAACGATATGGCGCCAATGGACGAGCCTCGCGCCTATGCAACCGCTGTTGTGAATTATTCTTAAGTGCAGTCGAACCTCCAATAAGACTATGTGCACCAACCTCGTACCCAGGGTTTCTCCAACGTATTGAACATATTTTCCCTTGGATCGTGTGGACAAGACGTCAAAGCTATAAACTAAATAAAAACGCTGGAAAACGACGCTCGTTTGCACATCGCCCAAGTGGTCAACCTCCATCTGTAGGGACATCGTCAAGAAACTCGAAGTGATGATACCGATAGACGACTGCAATATTGTTGTGCAAGGAATTCATTGCCTCTAGCCGAGTTCATGTCTGTATTGACTTAGACGGTTAGAACTGCCAAAATTCTTACAATTATTCACTACAAATTAACTCTTACTAAAAATAGTATTTATGGGGGTTTTAGTTATGCCAATGTGTTCAGCACAAAGTCTTGCTTTCAAAGAGAATATTATTGTATTACAGTGAGGCTTGGTGTTAAATACAATAGCTTACGTATTCGTGCTATATTATATTACATTTGTCAGCTAGCATGTTTCACTTGGTGCAAATCATTCAAAAGAAAAGCACAATGGTTAATCAAACTAATATTTATGCTTGATAAATAAATGCCTAATATTTGACTTACGAAAATTAATATTTTAAAATTTTGTATAAAGTTTTGTTACAGTTTCATTCTCTTTTATCAAGTTTCAAAACTATTTTAAAAACTTTTCTTTTTGAAGCTTTAGTTATATTACTAACCATAAACTGATTATTGTCAACGTTTTTATAATTCGTTTTATAATTTGTCTAAATTAACAGAACGAAAGAAGGAACCTTGTAACAGATTTTGTATGTCTTCTTGACTTCACGAGTATTTTGACTAAATGAGTAAGTTGCCTACCATATATTTGACTATTAAGACGATGCATGGCGTCGTTTTTAACTTAAAAGATAGTGTTTAAATATATTTAACAAAAAATGACGTTCCCAGATGGCGGTCAATCTTAAGTGAAATTACAAGACCAAAAGAGAGAAAAAATCAGTAGCGTAGCCAGCCTGTCGATTTGTCCCGCTATGCTAATATTTTGGTGTTCACTGACTGTGAAAATAATACATTTCTAAAGACATGAATAATTATAATAACTCAAAATTTACATAGCGGGACAAAATCGTCAGTCTGGCTATGCCACTGGAAAAAATCACAGAATAACAAGAGATCATAGAGAAAATTTTAAAGGTTCCTTCAAGATAAGGCAATAACAAAATACATATTTCAATTCTCCACTTACTTGTTCATACAGAAAGTTTTCTCGAATCTCTTCATTTGATTCTTCATTTAGACTTAGCCTGGCGCCTTCTTGGTTACCATCAAAATTAAATTCGTCATCCAATTTCAGAACTGCTGAGTCTAGTCTTTCTCGGAATTCAGCGCTTGCTAAACAAATAGATGGTTTGGAAACAAAAAACAAGCCATCAGAAATGAAATATTCTCAGCAGCTAGCCATTTTAGTAAGATGATCTCACAACTGCTATAAGTAGTCCCTGGACTTTTACTCAGTTCCGGGCGCGTTTCCACGCCCGTGTTTTACATGCAGCCTCTAAAGCCGGCATTCCAACGCAAATTCTTTGGGCAGTTTCCTCCAGATGTTGAAAAAAAATTTAAAAGGCTAACGGCTTCGTACTCAATTCGTACTCAAACAAAAAAAAATCGTATTTAAAGACCTATTTCTGGGTTTTTGAGTACGAATAAAACCGCGAATTTTTAAGTGGAGTAAAGATGCATGAAGTGAAAATGACGGGTTTTTTAACCGTACTCGTTTTCATTGATGTTCGCTACTAAAAATTGCTAGGCGTACAATATCGCTCTCTGAACGGTGATCCCAAACACAAGTAGTTATGCACAATAAAACGTTTTGAAACAACTGGGCTGTGGCTGTACAAGGGGGCTCGTATGATAATACATACCTCTGCCTTCAAAACTTTTACTAATATTTGTTGGTAAAGAACCAGTGCGACTGACTTTCTCTGCCTCCTTCTGTCTGAAGCTGAAAAATCAATTCAGGAGAACTCTACATCAAACATCAAAAGTACTTTTTGTACGTCGAACATGGTATAACAACTGTATGCCTATAAAACTATTCTAACTAACTCTCTTGACGAAGGCCCAAAAGGTCGAAATGTCGCGTAGCACGCTGTTCCTTATTTATATTGGAACATATTCCAGGCTAAAGTCCTTGGGAAGGTGGAACCTCTTGTTCATGCAGTTCGCAAGTTTGATTCATCAACAAAATAATCTCAGATATGGTTCAATATTTGTCTATATTATAAATTATTTATATATTTGGTCCGGGCTTACGGACAGAAAGCTTTACAAAACTATATTCACGTGGGGTTTCCACACAGTGGCGTAGCCAGCCCGAGAATTTAGTCATGCTATGATAATATTTTGGTGTGCATTGACTGTGAAAACAATGAATTTCTAAAGAAATGAATAATGATAATAACATAAAATTTGCATAGCATGACTAAATCGTCAGGCTGGCTACGCCACTGTTTCCACATACAACTCACCTTTGTTCAAACATGGCTCTATCACAATCTTTACAAATGCGCACAGGAGTTCGACCGGAGTTTGACAGGACACGTTTGAACGGAGAGCATGCATCGCAAACCACTCTGCCACAGCGACGGCAATGATGGCGTCGTACAAACTGAAATGTTTCAAATATAACTATGAAGATCGCGTTCTGGTAGCAAGAGTCTTCAGTCAAGAATCAAACTGGCAGTGTAGACTAAAAATTTCATCGACTCACAAGAGGAGAATATATAAAGCAAGTGTTCACCACACGTGTAGCAACAATTAGAGACAGAAGTGTCCAAAAAAAAGCGTGTCGGATAGAGTAACTTATTTACCATGTTAAAGGTGACTTCTTTGCATATCATACACACACTATGCTTATAATCTGGTTCCCAGTCCTCCTCAGCAGGAATTTTCTCGGGGATCTTAAAAGTTCCAGGATGCTGCTTTTCACTTCGCAACGACCGCGTGGCCCCTGCATAAGAAGATAACGAATCATAGTGGACTGTAATTTGATTGATCAAGAACACATTAGCTACATCATTATATATTGCATTTAAGACTATACCGCTGACAAATGAGCGCTCAGGATATTGTTACATGTAGGCGGCGGTTTACTTATCTCAGGAAAAGAAAACAAAGGTTATGATAATAATATTTAGCTTAATCTGGAGCCCTGCTGACATTAATCTGACAAAATATTGTCTGAATGTTATAGTAATAGTGTATCTATGAAATGAATATTGTGATGTTGCTACTAGTAGCTCAATTGGAGGAGCATTGGACTAGCAAAGCAAAGGTCGCGGCAAGCTAATTTTTCAACTAACACCCGGTTGGTGACTCAGAGTAGCAACATCACAATATTCATTTCAAATATTGTCTGTATTTAATATCTTACCGATGCTAGTATTTCTCCGATGACCTTTGATAGGAGTGGACGTTTTTATATGGCGCGTGTCCATGTCCTCTGTGAAAAACAAGAATAAAATTAATCAAAGCAATGAAAGAAAAACGTAAGAAATGCGAATTCGTGACAGAATAAAAGCAGAACGGAAGAAATGAGAATTCTTTGTGGCCAGTCATGGAAGAAGAGAATTAAAAGTTAAAAGCCACAATAAGGATACAATATTAAGTATTTTGACCGCAAGAAAAAAAGGAACGAGACAAATAATAATAAATTATCGTTTCAGAAATTTGGTTGTAGCTACATATGGCTTGTTACAGCCGTGAACTGTATGAGTCTGGACTTGTTTTTAATTCTTGTTTATTCCTAAGGTTTGATAAAACGAATTTGGTGCTGTCGGTATAAAATATGTCCATGCATTTACCATGGTCAACTGAATGCTCAGATTCCTTTGAAAATAGGACTAAGTAACATGCAAAGCCCAATAAGTCATGCAAACAGAGTTACAAATACAAAAGCTATGGATGCATCGCCTACCTTGCTCGTAAGTTACCACATTAAATTTCAGCGCTTTTGTGGCGTAAACAACTAAGAGTTTATCAAAAGCTTCCACAGAGATCTCTTCTCTAAACAGCTCGTCGTAATTCCCGTTTGTCTTCATTTCTGCCTGCAAATCTTCGAACACTTTTCCAGCCCATTCCACTTTCATATCAATCAGAAGCTGCTCCAACAGCAACAACGGTTGAGACGTAAGGGCCTCGTACGGTATTCGGTTGCACTCGGGAATACACAGAGCAGCTTTGGCGCCAAGTTGCTGCCGAAGTAGCTCGCGTTTTCTATCAGGATTTACCAAAGCGCCGAGATCTGATATCATAAAGTGAGTAATAAATACTGTGTTAGGAGTTGGTAATTGTTTCGCCAACAACCGTTCACAAATTTCCAAAGTCTTTTCAGGATCTTGTATTTTCTCCAGATACATGTAAACTTCCGTGACGTCAATCGGAGTTTTTGTCAGCAAGAATTTCAGGTAATCTTCGTGTATTTTCTAAAAGGCAAAATGAATGAATATTATGAGGAAAAGAATGTGCGAGGGAATGAATGCATGATGAATTATTGAACGAAGGAATGAAACCTGTGAGAAACAATTATTTATGGAATATTTTTACAGAGTTGCAATTAATTTGTATAGACTTTTGTTGTTCTTTTCTGTAAGCAAAATGAAACGCGATAAACAAAGATTCCTCTTTACATTTTTGAAGAAAAGCATGTCTGCGTGCATTCGGTTTATTGGCGAATAGCGCCTGAGGCGGATATGTTTTGACTACAGTTTTGTCGAAACGGTTATGTAGCTTTCTGTGCGAGTTCTAGGGACTCGACTTTAATCTTTCAAATACAACAAGATAATGATGATGCCTGGGAAAGATTCCTGACCTCCCGTAAGTTGGATGGATAACCATAAACATCGATCCATTCTTGAACCAAATCAAATCTTTCGCGATCTTGCAAGGCTTGTAAGACGATCTCAGGATTACGAACACTCTGATCAACGACATCTTTCCACGATTCATGATTAACGTTTACTCTGTCGGATTCATAACTGGGTTGGCAATGTTTAATCTTGAAAACATAATTAGAAAGTAAAAATGAATAAAATTTGATAAATTCCATCATTTCAGGCTTTTTCATCGACAACAGTAGTAAATCGACAACAGTAGTAAATCTGTGGGGTTCTTTCAAAAGAGAAAATGACATTTTCATATTAAAACTGTCATATTTAATATAAATTCATCTTGCAATCATATGTATTTTGATTTATTTGTTTGTATAAATTTAAACCCAATTGGCATTCCATATTTTAATACTTTTCTATAATATTTAAATTTTCCCACCTTTTTACAAAGATTGAGTTGTTTTGTTTTCTTCCTAAGACAATCTAACAATTGTTGGTCAGTCGGCGGTTTCGATAAACAAAACTGAAGCAACGTAAGGCCTACTGTAACATCACTCCAGTTGTGTAAACATCGCATGACAATTTCAGCGCGAACACAATCATCTTTGATACGGAACAGCAACAACCACTTTTCTTTTTTCCAGTTCAAATCAAAGTTTGGCGCTGTAATGTTGAAGTTTCGCAAAGTGGAAGCAGTCTGGGCAGCGATATCGTCGTCCGGACTCGGTTCCAGGGCACTTCCAAACGCTTTCTCGAGCACGAAGTCATCTGGTCCACGTAATGCGCCATATTGGTTTATACACGATGAATTGAATATCTCTAGGAGTAGTTCCCAGTCTGCCTTACGCCACGCATAGTTCACCGCACGCAGAAACATCTCGGCAACGTCCGAACTTCGTTCGTCGAGAAGAAACAAACGCGATTGATTTCGAGCGGCAAACTTTGCCGAGACTGAAGTGGACTGGAGAGACTTTGTCTGGCCATCGAGATACAGGAACTTAGACACGGAAAAAAACGCCGAGGTGATGTGACGTTGAAGTACCGGAAATTTGACTGCTTGTCCCATGGCGAATTCAAAGGGCGAAGTGACTTCTAAACTCTGTGTACCGGGGCTCACAAGGCTTGTTGTCAGCAACGGAAGGTCTTCACCTTTCCGGCTTTCTTTTGCGGGTTGATTTGAGTCCTGGGAACAACTGAGATTAACTAAGGTCGCCACTAGTGGGGACCGTTCGCTGAGGTAATTTGAAAGGGCCGAGGTCAAAGTATACTTCGGCATAATCGGGGTGGAGGGTTTGTACGATGTTTCTCCTTGAGTTGTCGCTTCCATAGTTGAAAATTGAAAACCGAATTTCCAGCAATGCGGTGTGAACTCGATATTAAGTTGGGTCGCAAGATCGTCAAATTTCTGGAATTGTGCCCCGCGAAGATAAGGAGATATTTGAAGCATTAATTCCACCCAATTTTCATCTTCACCGAAGCTGTTTGGGTCTAATTCTCCGGAGCGATCAGACAAAGTAGACATGAAATCATTCTTATACCATTTTAACAGTTCTGGAAGGTATATCTGTTATAATAGAGAAAATGTAAAAAATCGTTGCTTATCCGCTTATTTAAAAGATGTAATCTGAAAAAAAAAACAACTAAAAACTAAAACTAAGGAGAACTCGTCTGTTCATGCATAAGTGCCATAAATACCTTTCCTATTTTAGCTCTCAAGTGCGCAATGCGTGACGGCATGCAGTTGATTATCAAGGTCAATTTGAGTTGCGATATCGCTCTGCTTTGAAGCGAGAAACCTTGCCCATTCGTTTTGCTTCTTTGTTAAACTAAATCGCTCCTGGCGAAATTACAACTCAAATTGACCTTGATAATCAACTACCTTAACGCGTTGCGCGCTCGAAAGTTAAAAAAGGAAAGGTCTATTGACGTCCATTTCAATGCAAAAAAATTCAGATTTAGTTCCTTATAAATGCAAGCGAAATCTCAACAATCCTATATGGGTGTAATTTATACTGAAAATAGAATTTATATTTATCGAAAAAAATTGATTAAAATTAATTTGAATTGATATTTTGAGTTGGAACAATCTCTTGATACAAGCAACTGTATGTATAGTTGTCACACAACCTTCCAGCTCTCTCCCCAAATTAATGTTGGTTTTGAAACGCAAAACAACTACGAACAAAATGTTCAGCTACCTCGGAGACAAAATATCTGACCAACCTTATCATCTTCAATAACTTCGACATTTCTGGAAAGATAGTCTGAAATGGCGTTATCCAATTCGCTTTGGATGTTCTCTGGATTTAAGGCCTGTGACAAAATTAAACCAAATATAAGCGAAATGAAGTAGCTATGCACAGTACTGGATTTGATTTTTGGGTTTAAAACTCCAGGGGCCGGTTGTTCAAAAGCCGGTTAACGCTAACCCAGGGTTAAAAATGCCTAACCCAGGGTTAAATTTTAAACCTTGGTTGATTTGCGTTGCTCAAAGCTCGGTTAGCGTTAACCCTGGGTTAAAATTGATAAAAAATTAACCCTGCTAGCTAGGTGGGTTAACTTTTTAATCCTGGGTTAACTTCGATTTAAAATGGATGAATAAGGAGCTGAAACATGTAAACACGTATAATTCGTCATGAATTAAACACTTTTGAAAGGTTTTACGAATAATTTCGACAGCAAAGAATTATTTAAGTTTGACTTCGTTCGGTTTCGGCTGACGTATTGATTTATTTATCTTCGCTTGAATGCAATACACGATAAATGAATACAACCGTACAAATTGAAACATCGTAATCGAAGTATTTGTTTCGGATGCCAAAATTCGATTCTTTTGATTGGCAGCAAGTGGTAAGGCTACGTTTGTTCCTGAATTTTGAATAATCAAAGAATGGCTGAAATTTTAAAATAGATTATATATTGTTTATATATAATTTGCACATCGACATATTTCACATCGACATTGTTTATCATACAAAATGGCCTTTCATTTCGAATCTTTCCAAAATTCCATGCACGGAAATTGCTGTTCAAAACAACGTCCCTGCGACCCTGCCCTCACGGCATATAATCTTTCGCCTGACAATATATCCTCGTCGGGTAAAGTTTTGACGCTCGTTTATTGACCAATCGAAAACGTTCTTAAATCCAATTTAGTCCTTAAAATACATTTAATCTTAGGTTAAATATTTTAACCCTGGGTTAACTAACCCTACCACTAACCCTGCTTTGAACAACACAGTTTTAACCCAGGTTTAGCTAACCTAGGGTTAAGGATTTTAACCCAGGTTTAGCACTAACCCAGGGTTAAATTTAACCTGCTTTTGAACAACCGGCCCCAGGGGCCAGTTGTTCAAAGGCCGGTTACTAGCTTAACCTTGGGTTAAATCTTTACATTAACTTTTTTAATCGCTTGTGTACTAAGTTCTTTAATCTTTAATAGTTCTTTTATCTTTTTTCATAAATATTTTCTGGACCGATAGAAGTAATATTTTCTAAAGTTTTAAAATGAACAGTGGTTCAAAAGAAAATACAAGTGTTCAGCCGTATTCAGGCGTATAGGAGGTACCGACAAATAGATGAAGTAAGTCACAATGTTATACTTTAAAAGTACAATGAGCGAAAAGTATGACAGTTACCTGCATTTCAGGAGAGGAGATGGTACCATCCCAGATAGCGAAGGTCAAGCGGAAGTCACTTGATCTTGGTTGGTAGCGTTCGTAACGATAACTCACTAAAAAAATTAGTTAATAACGACATCCTATTCATATAAGGTGCATGGTGAGGATTTAGGTGAACAATCACCGCGTTTTCAATGTAGGTGTAACAACTCCCGGCCTTAGATTATATGAATATCGCTGTTGTGCCGGAACTTACCTTGTGAAGACGAGGATGCGTTCTGAGCAGTTGCTGGAACAGGTAACCCAGTTCGTAGGATCGTAAACCAAAGATCGAAAGCACTAAAATAAATTATAAAGCAGCGCTCATTCAACAATTCGGCCATTTGACGCCTTCAACGGACAAATACAAATCAAACGAAACTATATAGTTAAAACAAGAAATTCAAAAACAAATTCTCTCTACATAAAACGACACATGAGCATAACTGATTAAAAGCCCAACGAAATTGGAAGACAACTACGAAACTTTATTCAGTAAAAACTATAAAGGAAGATGTGCAAGATGTCTTTTCTGGCCAAAATGAACTTTATGTTACAATAAAAATGAACTTATATTACAATAAATGTACACGCTACGCGATGAAGCTACTCACTAATTCAATCTATTGGTCGATAATTAAAGTAGGTATTACACAAAAAATACAACACAGCGAAAATATGGATATATTAGAAGGGTGAGAAAATTTCTTTAAAACGAAAACCGCAACACAATTCATTGTTTATAAGAGAAAACATAAAAAATGTTGCATATACCTGACAAAGCCGAGTTGTCCAATGTTATAACCATACTTCTTCAAATAGGATGTGCGACAATATGAGAAATCCAGTCTTGGCAAGCTCTTCTCCCAATATTTATCATTGAAACTGTAATCAGCCGGACCTAAATCACGAGATCGTGCATCCTTGCGCGAGGCACAAACGGCCACCTCTGTAATAGCTGCTTGGGACAATAACATGTTCAGCACGTTGGTGAAAAAACATATTTTTTCCTCGTCGCTGGCTATCGCGTTTAAATCGACATACGAGAGCTTGTGCACTTCTTTCAACAGAAGGACGTAAGTAGGCGACGTAAAGAGAACTAGCAGAGACTGAACGTCAACCACATCTGACTCCGAATCTTTCATCACTTTAAGACAACAGAATACTATTGTTATTATCTATAATAATATTATAATTTTTATAATACCTTATTAATATAATGTCTTTTAATTGGTTGTTTTTGATCACGTGGCAATAAATAATTTTTTTTTTCCATTGCACGGTTGCTTTCACTAAATTTCACAAAGTTTTAACTGTGCTTATATTATGCATCATTTGCAATATATTTTGGTGAAAGATGGAATATTCCATTCAACATTCAACCATGAAAATATTTTTACCATTGCACGTATGAAAACATTCATTATTAGTATAATATCCCTGAATTTTTGTCGTTTTTTATATTTCTTTCAAATATATTTTTTACAAAGAATAACATTTTCTGCTTTCATAATAAAACGTTTTCCGTTTTGACACGTATAGACTCGAAAAGCGATTAAACTGACTTTTCTCTTCAATTTGTGAACAGTCCCTAAAGTTTACTGGAAACACAGTGTATATCGCGTTATACGACAGACTTTTGCTCCTTGTATAGCATAAAAGAATGCTGGCAAAAGGGCACAAAGCCAGGTTCAGTTTTATGTATTTTAAAACAAATATCCAGCTCTAAAGAATGCGAGGAGAGAAGTAGATACCTTGCAGCAGCTCCTTTATTTTGGTAACAAGCATTTCAGAAAACTGGACTGGATCATCAACATTTGCAATCTCAGTATCAGGTGATGCATTGAGAACAACTTTCGATGAGGATAATAACAAACGCTCTGTGCAAGATACCAAATAAACGTTGAAGTACATGGACAAGTAAAAGCATGCGAGGAATAAAAAAATGCGAATTTTGCACAGTCATTCGCTGAAACAGTAACTACAAGCTCAATTTTACTGAAAGATATTGTTGACTACGCTAAAAGTCTTCTAAAAACAACATGCTTATATCTGTAGGTCCTGGGGACGAGGGAAAATGATACTACTCGCGAGAAGTTAGTTTGAACGATGGATATCACAAATTTTCTCGTCAGTGGGTAGGTAAGTAGGTACATACGCAGGTAGGTAGGTAGGTAGATAGGTACTAGGTAGGTAGGTAAGTACATACGTAGGTAGGTAGATTCTTTCCCAATGCATTTACGGTCAGCATTAAAATAAAGGTCAGTGGTTACTGAACTCTTATACCTTGGCGTCGTACAGGTCCGAAAGCCGGAACAACAGGACAACAATTGTGAACGATGATACGAATTAGGTTCACATTCATCTTTTTGCACATCGATTCCATTCTAAATAAACGTAAGGTATAGCTAAATGTAGCAAAGCACGAGAATAATATGTTTTTACGAAGCTCATTTGTTGAAGGGTTTTAGGATGAAGAACCAGTTACTTAAATGTTAGTCTACATGCATGTAAAGGAAGTTTATTGCAAGCGACCGCAATATGGCATACGTTTTAATGAAAAAATAAAATCGATCTATCACAGCGGTTTGAAAAGTATCGAGATTTGAGACGTCTGCAAAGAAACTAAAACTGATAGCTACCACATTTTTAGCATTATGAATTTTTCGCTTTTTTATGTATACAGAAGGCTTTATTTCAACCAATTTCATTAAATTTATAGAATGCTCTTTTTAGGTTTACCATTCAATAGACGGGTGTATTACCATTTAATAGACATTTTTATCTGATGTTAGACACTAATATAGAACGTACGATACAATGAAGTATATTCAACTTACTTTTTGGGAGGAACGTTCCTCTCGAATAAAGGCTTTCCAGCGATATCATCAAATCCATGGGTTAAAACAACGAACGGGTTTGTTGCTTGCAAACCAATCGGTTTTCGAGAGACTTGGATATTACTTCTTTCTAAACGGAACAAGTTTTGAATACCATAAAAATCTTTCAAAGTATGAACGTAAAGTTTAAAAAGTACAATTCAAAAGTTTTGATACGTTTTTCCGAAATTGTCGATATGTTCCAGGATTACCCCAATTAGTCACATTGACCAATCAAAAGCATGCATTGTACGCAAACTACGTATTAACGCTAACTTTATAAAAGACCCAAACGTACCCGTCTAAAAGTGCCCGGCTAAAAGTCTGCATGAATATTCTCTTATTGTAAAAATTTTCGCCTTGCATGTTGATAAATTTTCAATACTGCATGGGCTGCTTTCCACTGTCGTGTTTTTTGCACGTACGTACACGGACGAGCAAAGCTTAAAACCTTCGAAGTTGTCGTATAATTAATTTTATGCCAGAAAAACACAGGAAATCATCAACAGAATCCAACCCTATATGCATCTATTCAATCGCTGATTGTAAAAGTTTAAAATAATTTAAATGATACTTTAAACGACTGAATAGATACATAGGGTTGGATTCTGTTGAATATTTGGTGTGTTTTTTCTGGCATAAAATTAATTACACAGCAACTTAGAAGGTTTTAAGCATCGAAGGTACGTGCAAAAAACGCGACAGTGGAAAGCGGCCTTAATAGCAGGCCCGCGTTAAAACACGTGCACTGGAAGAATAGTAAACATGCTATGATATTCTACCTTTCGAACTAAGGTTCCAGAACAATTCCCACTTGCTCAACATATTCACGTGATTATACAAGCTCTTTATATAATCCAGTCTATGTTTAACCAACCATCGTTCTCGGCCGACCACCAGAAGTCGCCCATCTCGCTGACAGTCACACGCATGGTGGAAATCAGCCATGGCGACTCTCACAGCTGTCTTTTGATCCATTTGCTTGAACTTTAGATACGCAGGCAATTCCGGCGACAATTCTGAGATGTCTTTAATAACTGTATCACCATCGTCGATAGCAAGCTCGAGTTTTGCAAAGGCATTATCTTGAAGGATCTGCAAATCTTTGTCGTTCTTTACTGATTTCGCATTCAGCGGTTTTATGTCACCGAAACGTTTACAAAGTGCAGTTGGTGCATCAACCTCATCCAGCAAGCTTTCAAAATTGCTCAAAGTTTCGGCGATACGTTGTAATGTGTAAGGTGTCAGCGGCTCTATGTCTGCATAAAATTTAACAGACGTTAGGCAAACGTAGAGATAAACTTTTGAGCACCGAGTTGGTCAAGTGGAGAATGGCGAAAGGAATAATTTTTATTTGTTGGTTTCAATGAGCATTTTACTCAGTGGCTAGCCACTTACGATATTGAGCCCGTGCACTAGCAATGCCAACAAAATTTTAAAATGGTTTCTAAGCGTTATTTTCGAAACAAACATGGCGAACTTAAGAGAGTGCATCTTTATAAAAATTGGATTTCTTTTGATAAAAATTTGGTTGAACATTAACGTTTTCGACTGTAATTGTTACGAAAAAGGGTTAAAACTTTTGCCCATTGTCCCCCAGGACATTGGCCCATTGATGCCCAGATGCTCAGATTTTGTTACTCAGACAACGAACAAAACTAAAGCTACGTACCCATAGCTATGTCCATTTTGCTCCTGGCCATTTTTAAGTAATTCTTGCAGGAGTGTTTGGTAATCTGTCCCGTGCACAAGAAGTCAAAACATACAAGCGCATGGAGGAAATGCGCGTGTGCAGGCGCAGTGAGAGTGAAACCGCTGCTCGCGAGGTCAGTGCTTGCACATAATAATAATTCCTCCACTATACTTGTAGTCGACGTGGCAGCGATACCGACGGCTGCTACAGAGGCAACATTCTTTAAAGCGGAAAGTCTTCCTTTTTTTTCGGGCGTTTTCGTCGAGGATTTTTCCTTCTTTTTACTTTTTTCGATCTGTGTCAATTTTTGAAACGACTTTTCGTACTCCTCTGCAAAATGAACAGCTTTAGAGCTGTCTTCTTCTTCGACGTTAAAAAGTTTGATGATGTTTTTGGCCTGAGCGTAGCTGTCCTTCTTCATACACATGTAGACGAGGCTGCTCGGTGAGGAAAGCAAGCGAGGGATGCTAACCTCAAGCGAGGTTGCTACTGCCGACGGTTTTGTAGCTTCCCCTTCGTCTAAATCTTTTTTCCTTCGTTTTGAAGGTTTCGAAACATTGCCATCACGCTTCTCGTCTAAAAAAAAACGCAGAAAACATCACCTATTTGTAACAGACCTTTCCAGTGATTATATCGCAACTTTATTGTAAATAATCTTTTCGTTAGTCCGAATCAGCGAAACTTTTCCCACTTGCACAATTTCAGCGGATGTCGTAAATAAAATTAAGATAAATAGATGAAATTGCAAAGCTTTAGATTCTCTTGGCCTGCGAACCGCTGAAAAACTGAGCCTGTTGCACTGGGAGATAATTTGACGGTCCTGTCCGAAGTGGTTAGTGAAATGGATTACAAGTTTTACTCTGATGAGCTATGGAACGATATACCTTTCGAACTTGCTAGAGCTAAATCACTATCCGAGTTTATCTACGGAACTTCTTAAAATTGTATTTTTGATTATTTTTTTCGCGTAATTAATAATGTTGTAAAGGCAATCTTACCTTCGTCTTTCCCAACTTCAAGATCTAGATCACTGTCATCCGAAAAGAAGCCTGTTTGGTCGTCCATCACGTCATCCTCCAAGTCGTCGACATCGCAACACGTGGACACAAGCTGGTATCTCCACTGTGCTTCGTTAATATACTGGCTCAGACGTGATATTCGTTGGTCAAGTGTTGCCATGGAAACAGACGTCTTCATCCAATCGGCGTAGACTACTTGAAAAAAACAAACGAAGACAAGCCTTGTATGAGGTTAGTCAATCGAAACAACGACTTTAGGTGTGGCGGGAGTATTAATAGATTTTAAAGAATTCTTTCCCAGTTAGTGGTTAGCATAAAACGGGAAATTTTTACTAATTCTGGCTTCGTTTTGGTTGTACATAGTTGCTATATTCAGTGTATTATCAGATCAGTGGCAATTGGTGATCAAAATTTCAACCACCTGGTTTCAGTTGGTTACAACCCCAGATATTTTCCTAACAGACTTTAAAAAATCAGCATAACACAATATTTACTCACCTTTGTCCAATTCCTCTGGCACAGATTTTAACCGTATAACCTCATCTAAACACTCCCTTAGTATTTCCAAAAACTGGCAAAGCAATGTTCTGTTTACTAAAAGTCCTCTCGCGTGACGCTCTGAAACATCTAGAAGTTTTTCTTTTGATCCTTTTAAATTCTGGGGGAACAGCTCACTAAATTCGTCTTGCGCTACATTGCCATCGTCGAAATTCAGCTCTCGAGCACACGCGGATCTTCTCGCCTCACCTTCGGGCAAAGTCGTTTCGACTTTTGAAAGATCTAGTCGTCTTGTGTCTTCACTGTCTTTCGTTCCCCTCGAGCCGGCATCCATGAATGGCGACTGCTTTAAGCGTTCTCCGTCTAACCTGCCAGCCGGTTCAGGAGACATCGGCCGCGAAGCAGATTGTTCCAAATTTCTCGAAGGTCTCCAGGGACTATCAACGCTTACAAAACTTTCAAAGCTACCGGTTCGGCTACTTCGTAAACTTCGGCTATCTATAGTCTCCAAGTCGTCAGTTTCGTAAGCGGCTGAAATCTCTTCCAGCAAGTGTTCAGATGAAACAAAAAGTAAGCTAAATATATTCTCCAGGATCTCTACTCGGAACGTGATAGGGTATATGCTGCTCACGTGATCGCATGATTCTCGGATTTTCGCTGTTGCATCAGTGCATTCATTTTCGGCCTGCCCGGGCATGATTGCTTCTAGGAAACCACGCATGGAGCAGAAGCCGTGATACAGCGCAATATCACGTTGTATTTCCGCTTCACCAGTTTCAACGTTAGTGTCTGCAGCAATTTCCGCCTGCGACCCAGAGGAATTTTCACAGGAGAATACAGGTCTAGTTTGTAAGATCTCCAGCACTTCGCTTTCGGGCAATTGAGAGAGATTTGTAGACTGGTGTAGTACATGTAAGACAGAATGGGAATCTAGACTCTGAAACATTTCGTACACTTTTTGATGTTCTTCTGAAGATGATTCGTCGGCAGCTAGCAATGGCCTAGAAAAGTGAAAAGTGTGAATTGAAAGTGGAGACAAAAATTACAATATGGCTTAACAGTCTTAATTATCATGGATTGTACATACAAGAGATATATTTTAGAAATTTAGGCTCTTGCAATAGCACATGCGTAGAACGGACTCATCGCACTGAGCAAAAGATTTCCATTTACTCTTTTGATAATTACGTTTTAGCTAGAAAACTGGGAGCCAATCGCCTAGTTCCGGCCGGCCAAACGAAAGTTAGTCAAACTTAAAGACAAATGGTGAGACCTTTCGGAGTAATGTCCTAAAATGGGAAAAGACTCCTCTGCCTGGACGAGAATTTTTTATTTTAGGCAATTACATATACAGTAGAGGCATGTTTTTTGTATTCAATTTTGTATCGAACTGATAGCTCAATGATAAGTAAAGTGAGTTCATAAAGGAACACATTCGGTTTATTATTAGTTTCAGAAGTTATGTAAGAAATGTGCTGTATTGAAGTGTACTACATATGATTTGATATGAATATTGTCAATATGCTACTCTGAGTGACCAACCGGATAAGCTGAAAAATTAGCTTGACCACAGTGGGACCTTTGGTTTGCTAGTCCACCGTCAAGCTAATTTTTCAGCTAAACCGGTTGGTCACTCAGAGTAGCATCTTTACAATATTTACATCATATACACCTGAGTCCATACATTATTACTAAAAATGCTGTGATGTTATGTGGTATTGTCCGAATTTGAAAGTATTAAATTCGTGCAAAAAATCGATATCCGATTGCAGACCTGTATCTTAAACATAATATAATATAGTAAGCACTGAAAATAGATTACGAATACATACGTCGCTTTATCCAAACACCACTTTACAAGATGCAACTGATATTCCAATTTGGTACATGCTTGGTTTAAAAGAACATGTTCAGAAGATCGCTAAAGAAAAAGTGATACGCGAATAGTTAGTTAAAATAGAAATGTACACTCAAATTTTCATATTATGATCAAGGATAAACTATCCAGTCTATATACACATACATACAATGTAGTGAATGTACACTATCTCCGGGTAGCGTGCGCGAAATTTTCACATTCCATGAAGCGGTTGTTAACCAATTTGATTGCGTGTTTCACTGCAGTTATTGTATAAATGTACTCACTTCACGATCCCATAAACCATCCAGTAGTTTTTGAGCTCTGTCACAAGTGTGACAATGTGGCCACGCCAACAGCAATACCAGTACTTTCAGTGGCGAAAATTCATCACAAGAAAGAATTTGAATGACCTTGTCCAGGTCACCTTGTTGGGCGAATTCCACACATGTATTCTAAGCAACGCAAATAAAATTATAGATGGCACTCAGCCTTAAGGCCTTCGTTTTCGAATTGAAATTGATTTTTTCTGTCGATTCTTTGAGAATTCCGTGGTAAGAAGAAGGTAAACGGCATTCTGAAATTGTACCAAGTATGAGGCAACTGTGATAGGCAACTATTTACCGACAAGTTTGAGCGTTAAATTTTGTGCGACAGTCATCGGGAAAATCAAATTGTACACTGTATTACAATTTCAAATTATTTTCAAATGAAGATGATTTTCAAATGTATGTAGCTGTAAAAAGGCATTCTAGAATAGAGGAATACAAAATGGTTTTCCTGGGCAGGATTGCATGATCTATGCACGAGGATTTGCGGGACATTCGGTGTATACTCACCGTAGGCGAGTGTGAAATTCTGCTTGTGAGAACCACTCGGTAAGGCTCGTGGCAAACGAGGTAGGATTTGGGGGGAAGGGGGATTTATAACCAACTTTTATAATGAAAAATGTCTAACTTTTCCATCCGTATACAGGAATTAGTATCAATTTTGATTTATTTGGAAAAAGCCTTGTCAATATATATAATTAGGCTCCAGAAACATGATATCGAAATGTCACTCCGCTTCATGCAAATATAAGAAACCTACCACAACATCTTCTAAAATGTGGTGATCCTGTTTCGCATACAAATATAATAATTTCCACGCAGTGGGTCGATTCTTCTCGCATGTTCTTGTCAACAGACTTTCAGACGGAACGAAAAACCTCGGAGCTGATGAAACTTCAGAAAAACTCCTGAAGCTATTGCCAAGTTGATATTCGGTCTCAAAATCGCAAAAACGTCGAAATAGGTAAGGCGACGGATGACAGAGCATCGACGAATAAAGAGAGCCTTTTGTAAAATTACCAGTTGGATTGCTTTGTGCCTTGTACAACAAGTTCATTAAGACTTCGTCAATTTCTGGATGATCTATAAGTAAGTGCACATCCATTGAAGATAACAACTGATGCACGTTTTGACAGCTCAAACTGTGTTTCTTCAACATAGCTTTGGCAGTTTTGTTAAGTTCGCCCGGCGTAGTCGCCTCTTTTAGACTATTTTCCAAGCTGGTCATTTCGTTCAACTTATCCTTGAGCAGGTCCAAGTATAGGTTGTAAAAGAAGAGATTGTTGTTAGCATATCTGGCATCCGGTACGATCAGACTGTGGATAATTGCATGAGCGTGTCGAGGTTGTTTGGAAATTAGCGTCTTCAAGTGATCTACCCAGGACATGCTGACATCAGGTACGATGGTAGTGATGCCTGATCGACTATCACCCAGGAGTTCCGAGTGATAATAGTCCAATTCCTTGAGGATATATAAGAGAGTAGAGTACAAAACATAGCTGAAAGATTTACAGTGCATGGGCATGGGGTGCACCCTGGGGTATGCACAGGCCATGGGGTGAGTCATTTTTGACACATCTTATGCTATGGTGAGTGGTTATAAGCCACGCTAAATGTCAATATACCAAAAAATTGGTAGAAAACAAGCTAAATACAAGAGGCATATGCTCTGAGCAACACCCATTAAAAAATTTACACAAACCTGAAGAATTTCAAGAGGAACATGTTCTACATTGCAAGACTGCAACAACAACCTGAACTCAAGTTTAAGTTGGAGTGTTTTTGGAAGTTCAATCTAAAAAAAAAAGCCAATAAATCCATTTGCCAGTTGTGACTTAATGAGTTTGCACTTTGCAACATACAAAGAGATAATGTGTGGGTGCTTCTATCTTAAAGAAATTTCATAATATTGGTCTAAATTTAATATTCTTAAACTATATAATAGGTTTCCTATGGAATTTCTTAATTAATAGACAGCTATATATATACTAATGACATATATTTAGACCCAGGTCTGCTATTTTTCCAGAAAGGACCTTACATTCAATTGGTGGTACATTAATTATATATACATTGTAGCAACTGTATGTTTACAAAACAAACCTTTCCCCTGAAATGCTTAAGAAACTCCAGTGAAGCAAGCCAGGACAAATGAAATGGTGTTTCCACAGAATGAGATCCATCACTAAAAATACATGCAAAATAATTCATAAAAATATTCACAGCAGAGGCCAGAATTCCAACAGATCTAGAGGCTAGAATTTGTGCCATCTGATTAGCCTAAGCAATAGGTGGAATTTTATAACAGTCTAGAAAACTACATCTTAAGCCTATTTGTTCTGTTTTAATTGAATTAATTGAATTAAAATGTTGATCAAGCTCTAGTTTATACATTAACTTGAGCTGAATAATGGTATAATTGCATGTCATTTAAGTGTCATTTAAATTTAAGTTTAAAGATAAACCAGTTATGCTTGCACTATGAAGTTTTCAGTCTTCTAACAACCTATGCAATCACTTTCATTAGGTAATTAATTTGCAATTGAATTGCACTGATAGTGGTTGATGATGATGTTAATCGGTGGACCGAAAGCTTTTTCTAAACTATGCATGTTTGCTCTTTCCAGAAATGAATTTTTAAATACATTTATCAACAATCATTTCCACATACTGCTCTACACATGTCACCATGAATTTAGTTTGACATTGTATGTGCACAGCTGAAAAGATTTCAAATGCTTGTGTGCATTTATACAGCATTGATTATTCGTGCTTGAGTTATAGACTGAGTTGTATTAGAATATTTATTTTCTTACTGCTAAAGTCAAGTGCTCAGTCCAGCCAAAGAACAAAGATTAACCCCTCCACTTAGGTCAAAGAAGACTGTACTAAAAATATTATCCAATCTCGACCTACTCCAGTATTTACTATTTAATGACTACCAATTACCATACCTGTACAGAAGTGGTTCATCAATAACATTCCTCAGTAAATCTGCAAATTTCTCTTCATAGCTCCCGTCGTTTTGCAGCAGCGCCTCAATGCATGCTCTGGCAAGCTCCCACTGTCCAACACGTAGGTTATTATATAGGAATTTATACAAAAGTTGCGATGAAAGGGAGCATTTGTCCAACAACAAATCGATGGTTTCAAACGAACCTGCCATGTACCATTTTATACAAGGAAATTTGACACCGAAGTGCAGAACTTCAGAAACTAGTAATTCTTTAGTACATTTCAAGGTAAAAATTTGATATTTTTCTCGAACCCACGATCTTCGAACTTCGAGAATACTACATAGCACTCATGTGACATACTTAAAATCGAACTCCCCCCTGAGCAAAGTTTTAGGACCACTGAGGAAGCTTCTTTATTCCGAAACACTTTGAATATGGCAGGGGGGGGAAATTACGAAGAGTGCTAATGTTGTGCTAATTACTAGTGCTATGAAGTGCTATTTTGTGTGGCGAAAATTGCAAATTCGGTTTCGATATTTCTCACAATCTTACTTTACAAAGCGAAGTTTTTTATTGCGTTTTTTTTATTCAGCATTAAATTTGCAAGAAATTTTATATATGCTTTGGTTATACCTTTTAAAATTAACATAAATTGTAGTTATTGTACGTTATGAAATTAGAACATTCGGATTTCGTAAGACTGCAACATTTTGAACATTTGAATTTGACAATAAATTTTAAAAAGTTATATTTAGCGGAGTTCGGACGTTAATAAAGGACTTCGATGAGGTCGATTAATTTTGATACAGTAAATATTTTAGCAATAATATATTTCAAAATTGAGACTGTCAGTAATTGAAAACGCAAAAACTGCAATTTCTTAACTTCCGTCTTCCGGTCTGCCCATTTGTTTTGGTTCTTCCGCGAAATGTAAAAAAAGTACCCATTTTTTATCCAATTCAATCACCAAGCAGGAATACTATTAAGAATTAGTTTATGATAAACATCACAACGTAAGTAAAATTTCAATCAGCAATCAATACTTAAAAGGTAAATTGAATTTTCAATATACATATATACCAGGTATAATATCAATTTTAATTTTGCGTAATGGGAGCAAGTTTTTCGCCTGTATGTAATTTCGTATGCTAGTATACAGACACCAGTTGATCTGTGATCTGATGAGTATTTGCGATAAATGTATATAATGATATATAGATATGAATAAATATATGTACAGGGAAAAAATGTATATACAGTATAAATGTGCATGAGCAGTGAGCACTATAGTATACCTATATGTATATAATAATTAAATCATTTTAAGAGCCATAATAAGAGGGGACAGTAGGTGTCTGAGCTACCCCAACAGCTTCCACCTATCAAATAAAATAGAGATGGGCAGATACCAGTACTAAGCTAGCACTTGGTACATGCAATACTGGGAAAAGGATTGAAGTATTGGCACTTCCTATACCTAATGAGCCTTTGGTGTTTTGTCAGTGTTAATTGTTACAAACTACTACTTTGCTGCTTCCCTTAATGCTGACTTCAATCAAATAAAATAATTTAACTTTCATATTCACTTCATTGTCAATCATGAAATATAGACATTTGTATCAGTGTTAATTATCGAAAAAATAGTCTAATCCTTCAAGTAATATTGTATTAAATGTAGATAACTGAAACTGGTATTGCCTATCACTGCACTAAAAATTCTAACACAGAGGCCACCAAGCCGAGCTAGGGGGCCCAGCGCCTAATAATTTTCCTGTAATTAATAAATTTTGGATCAAATTGTGTTAATTATAACCAGTCCCTATATAAGAACCTTGCCTTCAGCTCCCTCAATTTAGAAATTGTTCTGCAGTCCCTGCAATTACAGCTTTAATTTCATGGGAAACTGGTTGCAACTTTCCTATCAAGAAAGTATGAGTACCAACATGAAGATTGTTGTCATTTAAGATATGTTTCAGGGATGCACAGTCAGTTTTTGCACTATGAATTTTTAATAAATATAAATATTATAGTATGAAACAGGGGAATTAGCTTTTGAGTATTTCAACTACAGTTTCTTCCTATGTGTTGTTTCACCTCATTGTGGTGACTTCACCGACTTGTGAGTGTGGTGTTCCCAGTTTCCCATTTAGGTTAAGCCACCTAAGCTTCAGGCTAGGGATTGTTGCATAACATAGGTACAAAATTACATGATTTTAAAAAAATCTTTGTTTGTCCCTGCCTTCTACTACCTTAATGGACAACTATATGCCCAACCTTCTACCCCCCTAGGTGAAAGAGCCTGCCTATGCGGTTGCTAAATACCTACATTTTGTGATGAAATCTGCACTCAGTGTGCAAAATTAAATTGCAATTTAATATGTTCTAACATCATCCAATTTTGTGACTAGATATTCATCTTCTTAGAATCGGCAAAAAACAAAAGCAAATGTTTGAGAGCACTTTAGCGCACGGGCGGGGAGGAAGGCGCAGCCCGCGATCATAAAGCGGTAATATATTACTGAATTTTACGCCATTGCAAAAAAGGACTCGATGGACGTGTTAATTGTTTTATACTTTTATTACAAAAAAGTACGCCTTTCAGATTATAAGACGTTTTAGATCATAAGATGGTTATGGAGAGGGATCCTCTTAATATTTTTACAAGGGCCACCAGATCTGGTGTTATTCTGAGTACTGACACCGCTGTTCATTAATCATTATTATAAAATCGATTGAATGACTTGAATGTCTAAAGCGCATTTGCATGTGCAAATGAACTACATCCAATGTTTCCAATTTGAACAAAGTGAAGTTGTGAGGTAATTACCAACCTCGTTCCCAGGGCCTTTTGAGACTTTAGGTAATTACCGGAAATGTCCGCCATTATGCGTATAATTTTTCTGTGTTATGTTTTTTTGGTAGCGCGAAAAGGCTCTATTGGCCCTAGATATAAAAATATGCCCTAGCTTATACATCACATAACATCTATGTACGCTAAATAGTGAAAAAAGAGTAAACAATTTACCATGACAATTTACATATTTTTTTTTATATCATACATCGTTAATCGTTTTGTGATATTCTTTGAATCATTTAAATTCGTGCTTAGCCTTTTTATTGGTAGTCCGAGAACAAATGAAATTGGACGGTTAGCCAATTTAGCCGTACCGTGCCAATAAATTGACTACAGTGTAAACGGAGCTCTGGTCTACCTAGAATTATAGATGAAAGTGATTATAATGTCAATTTTATGTTTAGGTTTTTGGGATACCATCAAACCATTTTCCAGGACAACTATGGGTAATCCATATCGTGCGATTACAGTTGAACCTGTCGTTATGTTGTACATCACAGCGCTATTGATGCAGCTGCCTGTTTACCAGCATTATGTTTATCATCGAGCTCAGGTTGAATTGAATTTGGAACGAAACGGTTCAGACCTGGTAGACCAAAGTCGTTGTGATGCGAATACTAGTGAATTAGTTGTGTAAGTAAAATTGCACCACAAGCTGATCTGAGATCATGACGTCATAAAGCGTCTCGACAAAACTGAGTTATCATGTTCCTGGTGTTATTTAATTGTCCCTATTCTCCTAACTATATAATAGTATAAAGCGCGAAAAATTTAAATTCTAATTTACAGTTGGGAAAAAATAAACGTGTTTTTGCATAAATATAATAAAATTACTTGATATTTTCGAGTTTCGAAGTCATATGCAATGAAGAAAATGATAATTCTGTTTTGTCGAAGATTTGGCTTCTGATTGGTTGATTTTTATGCCCAGATCAGCTGGCAGTGATCCAATTTAAGAATATATAGTTACTATATATATGAATGCAAACAACAGTCATGGTGTCAGCTTTCCCCACGAAATCTATGCAACCTCTGACGGTGTGTCTGTGTGTGACCCCAGCAAAATTAGTTCGCAGACAAAAGTTATCTCAGCTCCGCGTTTTATGATTTCGATTGTCGACCAACTTTTGCTGAACTGTGTCTGTGATCATATGCCTCAATTTGCACAATTTTCCACGTAGTCGGATACGAAGTGTTATGAGGCAAATTAAGGGCAGCGTGTTAAAGACAGATTTACAAGTGCCTTATTTTATTCTCTGCATTCAAAACAAGCTTTTGACACTTCTGATCAGCTTTCTGACACCATTTAATTGTCTGCTTTGAATGTAAATATAGTTTCTGTTATTTGATTGAATTTAGGGAAATCCAACGACGTGCATCAAGTTATATCCTTGCAATAGGTATGGCAGGAACCTTTCCTGCCATATTTACGTCCTTGATTTATGGTCCCATGTCTGACAGGAAAGGACGGATACCAATAATGCGGTTGCCACTTTTGGGAAGCGTCATTGATGGGTCCATGACACTTTTTACAATATATTTCGAACTGCCACTGTACGTCATAGCAATTGGTAAGATTTTACGCGACCGTTGATTTCGAATTAAGCCAGGCTAGCCAGTGCACTTGTTGAAAGCTGTATATAAATGAACTGGGCATGAGTGATGACCTTGCTGGGGCGCCCGGCGAATGGGAAGTAGGGGTTGACGGCATGTAGACCTTTTATTAGATGTGAGAGAAGAATCAACTTGACCTTTTCTAAAATATTAACTTGAAGATAGGCCGATGATTAGTATTTCGACGCAATTCATTTATACACTTCCTTGGCGAACGCTAAAAATGCGGCTGCAACGAACTTCGAGAACACTATTGATTATCTTGGACATTGCAGTAACAAGGCATCTAATTATGGGACGCATGCCTATATTCATTTAAATTATAGTGAGAATCCTCACTGATATTTCTGGTAAGCGATTGTTTTTCTGGTATGTTGACACAACCCGCTTCCTCCCACGTTATCGCGTTTACTTTTATTACTGACTTTGTTTTAAATTAAGTTTATGATAGTAATGTCTCATGATTTTGTACCGTTTTCGTGGGCGTCAATCGATTCGAAAATTTAGGGGAGGGAAGAACTTTCAAATGAACGTTATATTAGCCAGATTAGGAATTCTTTCCATACCATAGAAATTTGCTATTCCCATACTAGCTATATATAATATGGATATGATAAATTCAATGCTATTTCCAACTAGAATCAATACTATTTCCATAATAAAATTCCAGTGAATTTTCTTTGTTTATTTTTACCTTTATAGGTTCTGCCATAAGCGGTCTCTGTGGGCACTACACAACATTAGTATTCACAGTTACGGCTTATGTCAAAGACACAACATCTGATCCTGCTAAACTATCCCTTCGTTTAGCCCGCTTGGAGGCCATGGCGTTGTTTAGCGGTACAATTGCACAAGTAACCAGTGGGCTTTGGGTCGAGCACTTGGGCTATGCAGCACCGTATTTGTTCATCTTCGCATGCCAACTGTGTGCGTTTTTGTACGTGGCACTCTTTCTCCCAGAATCGCTTCAACAACTGCCGTTGGGCGACAGGCTATGCTTGAACTGTGGGGATTTTCGATTATTGACAGGCGTGATTATAAACAAGCGGGAGGATCGAGGGCGATTAAAGATCTTGCTGTTGCTCTTAGTCTCTGCATTTACCCTCCTACCTGTGGGTGTCCTAAACAGTCTATCTATCCTGTACGCCAAAGATTCCCCACTTTGCTGGAGAGCTGATTTAATCGGTTATTTTCTTGGATGTTTGTTTTTTGTCAGAGCGGTTGGGGCGGTGGCTTGCATGAAGATTTTAAAGAAGTTTGCGTGGAAGGATTATTCCGTAGTTCAATTAGGGAGCGTTTTCCTCATGGGTCTCTTGATTATGATTGGCTTATCAACCACTACATTGGAAATGTTTCTTGGTTTGTGAAATATCAATTACTAGGCATTTGGTAGGATTAGAGTTGTTGGGTGGGGATCAATGTTAGGATTGAATGAACATAACCCGTTGAGACTTGTATACATTTAAGGCTGGAGACTGTTGTGAGTGTTTTGTTCACAAATAAACGCACGCGCTGACTATACAATGAACGAAATCAGCTTTGTGCGTTCGAGTGTGTTGTAACTTAATTAGCAATGCCTATTGATATACAATCAGGGCGCTTTGATTTGACCAGAAAATCCAGATTGCGTTTCCGGAATCCCCAGTGTCATAATGGAACGCTCAAGCCTAACAAACCTGAAAGTATTCATTCTTGAACTTTGTAAGGGTTAAAATAACTGCTTTAACATTCGTAAATAATAAATATCTAAACGTAAAAAAATCTCCAAATGAAAAAAAAATGACACCACGTCCACTATTTTAATGACGCAGAGTAGTCTTTACTCAACCTCGTACCCAGGGTTTTATTACCTACTTTATTTACCGCTTACAACTTAATTGTGGCTAGAATGATCTTGGATTTGTTCATGTACATGTATCGATCATACATTTTATTTATGCAGCAACGATACCGTGTCTCATGGCAGGACTTCCTCAACCTTGTATTCGAGCATTGACATCGCATATTGTTGGATACAGCGAACAAGGTAAAATACTGGAAAAAAGACAGCATTTTTAAGCCTAGGCAAAGCCTATTCGTTTAATTTCAGGAAAAAAATAATGTAATTCTATTTGTTTTCAGGATCATTGTTCTCCATCATAGCTTCAATAGAAAGCCTTTGTAACTTTCTGGCAAACATAATCTTCAATCCCGTTTATCAGGCCTCTTTGGATTACAGTTGGCCACATGCTAATGGTCTTATTTTCTTCATCAATGCAGGAATAGTATTCCTTCCATTTGTGATCATCAGGTATACATACGCTATACAGAATAGCGAAATTCAGTGCTACCTTCTGCTTAGTCTGCTATGTATACTTTTGTATATTCTTATGTTTCAGTAACTCTATATATCAGAGTGAAACAATATATACAATCGAGCTGCATGCCATACTATACTTCAATACTGCATATACAGGATGTTTGAAAAAAATGACATGGCGGCTGTTATGCAATAATATATTGAGCCTGAGAATTCAATTCGTACATTTAGCAAGAACGGGGAGTTTAACTTTTACACAATGCCTTCTTCATCCAATTAGCTATATATGTTTGTGTGTTAAAAGATGCAGCTCGACAATTTTTATGTAAGAATGAACATTGTTGCTATATACAGTCAAGCATATTATATACATATATAGTGAGTAGATATGCATGTTGTCATGTATATCATCATGTTTAAAAAAACCCAAAACGATTGAAATCACCTATTGTTAAAAGTTGAATGACTTGTTCGAGAATTTTTGCTGGTGCGGATTATTAACGCAACTTGCTAAAATGGGGCCGGTTGTATTAAGCCCGTTTAGCTTAAACGGTGGTTAAGTTCAAAATAGAAAGCAAGTCTATCGTTTATTGAAGGAGCAAACAAAATGTTTGCTCCTCTTCGCTCTGCAAACCTCTGGGTACCAACACGGTGCCTAGGAATTCAAAGGCCTAGGTTAAAACGTCGCATTTTGGTCGCTTCGAATGCAATTCAAACAATCGATAATGAGATGATAATGAAGCTTAATGAGGTTTATCAGCTCATTATCTATTGTTTGAATTGCACTTGAGGCGACCAAAATGCGACGTATAACCTATAGCCAAACTGTAGCTATTACATCGTTATGGGCGATTTCAATGGTTTTGGGTTTTTATGACACCCTGTATAATGTTTCATTACAATATCCGTTTTTTCAATTATAGTTACCTGAAATTCTACGATAACAAGTTCAAAGGCTATGAAGCGATAGGCAGTGGAATTCGAAACAGCAAAAGTTTTACAACCAGTACTGATTCAGCTACGAGCGATGAGTTAACGAAACCCCAGCCTATTAGCTAGTTAAGGTAATTGCTTCCTTTCAATAAATTTTAGCGACCGATTTTTTCTGCATTTATGAAAATTATTTGCACATATATAGTGGTATAATATACAGTATAATCGAAGCGTATACTATATATGTTTTGTTCCACTGACAAATTAATTTAGCCGCTTCCAGAATTCATTAAATCCTTGCTTGATCCTGTCAAAATTTTAATAACATATTTTCAATGTGTAAAATAGCTGAGACGAATACATATTTGTAACCTAAATTGTATTATAATTAAACCTATAAATTATATTAATAACACGTCCGCTCATATTATTATATAGTACCAGTTTTCATTGGCTTTTATTAATAAATTTTCTAATTTTTTTTATATGCATCAACCCCTCTTAAAATAGCCAGCCTTTTGTGGGTGAAAAGCAATAATTGAGTTGCAGCATATATTAGCAACCATACGATTTCACAAGATTCTTTAAATAATTTTTTGAACCATTCAAGACGGTCTGTGGATTCGTAAGCATATATCAAAACTATTTGATATTCAGTTTGTAATTATCGGTCGATCAACCTACAGTTGAACAACATTCGTATATATATAGCTATAAAGACAAAGTCGGATTAGCGGTATCGTCTCAACTCTGTGGCGAGTAAAAACCGAACATTGGCATTCGTTCAATTTTGGCTGTAATTTATATACTCGATATGTTTTACCTGTCGGGTATGAGCAACAAATTTGATTCAAAAAAAGTTGCGTAACACGAAGATCAGTCGCAAAGATTATTTAGGATAAATTGGAAATGACACGCAATTTAATTAGTATTTGCAAACAATAGGGAAATATATCACGACCGTCGGTGATCCTTTATCAAAATCGTAAAAACAACTTTTTTGAAGTATCTTGCTTCGCAGGCTACCTTTACTGACTAATGCAATAGTGCACTTCTAAAACCAACTAGTTTTTGCATATCCTCGTTTAACGACTAAATTTACGTGCCCTCATATGTAAAGTACATTAAGGCAGATGCTTTCAGCTGTCCGAGGTTTATTTGCCTATCGCAATTTAAGGGTTGGCTTTAGTTCGATTCTTTTATGAAAGACATAGTATCTCGGGAACAACGCTTCGAATTCAAGTAGGAAATGAGGACGAAATCCAACCTAACGTTGTTTTTCAAGTTCAACGCCGTATTTTTGTGTGTCGTGAATGTTATCTTCACATTTGTTGGAATACTTTTAAACTCCGTTGTCATAATAAGTCTACTCAATTCACAGCTGCGAAGAAAATTATGTTATTTCATGATCCTTGTTCTGGCTTGTCTTGACCTCGTTGTTGTTCTCGTTTTTCATCCATTGATACTGGTAACTGTATTGGACGGCACCGCCACGAAAGTCACCGATTATATCAAAATGCCATTTCTTAAATACTTGTTCATGTTGTCGTTAACCGCACTCCTAACAATGACTCTGGAAAGATATCTTGCCCTGGTGTATCCATTTTTTCATCAAAAGTACGTGACGATGCAAAGATTGATCGTCGTTCTCATCCTGTTACAATTACCGTTTGCTTTAGTATATATATACTCTCGATTGTTTTACTCGGGTATTGGCACTGAGACAACATTAGTTGGCCTTGTCGGCTTCTTATTTCTTATCACATTCTATTTAAACTTTAAACTATGCTACATTGTGAGAGGTCTGCGTCACCGTATGATTATACCTCTAGGAAATTTTGAAGGGCCTAATGGAAGAATAAACGTTAGGCGAAAGCGGGTAAAGAGAACTAAAGTCACGTTGGAAAAGATTTCGGCGTGCCTGTTAGCGGTAGTGTGTTTATTCGTGTGTTACTGTCCAGGCATTCTCGTCTTTGCGTTGGTCCACACAAAATAGGCAGACATGAATGCAGACCAAACACTACGTGCTATTCATCTTTGGACCGTAACGATTGTCACTATAAACTCCAGCTTGAATGGTTTGATATTCTTTTACAAGAACAGCGCATTGCGTCGACGTGGAAAGAATGTGTTGTCCAAAAGCGTTTGGACAAAAAAGTTGCTGTGCTTGTAGTACAGAATTGCAAACATCTTCACGCATATAATATTGTTTATAGTTTGTTCAGGTGCTCGAAAGAACATATTCAATTTGTACAATATACACTAATTCATACTTTTCGGAGTATTTTTGTTTACTTTTCGAATTCTGCATGGCCTTTTTAGTCTTATCTATAAAGCTGTTTTTTCAACTGAAGGTGTGTTAAGAGATAAATTATAATGTATTCCAATATAGAATGCATTTCTAATGTTGTCACGTGATAAACGAGTAGAAAATAAACAAGAGCGCATATTATGCATCGTACCTATTGGAACCTTAGATCTTTCAGAGAAAAGCACATCGAGGGAAAAATGAATCCAGGAAAGTTTTCCACGTGTTCACTGGCGATTGTGTGTTTGCTTGCTTGTTATATTCCAAACGGTGTTATATTGCTACCAAAACTGACACAACAAACAGACTGGAGTGTTCAAACTTGGCGCATCATCGAATACAAAAACAACACATTACGGAGACATGGAGAGAATTAAGATAGTCGCGAAATGCTTTCACAAAATTAGGCTCCGAACGCTTTCTGATTCTTGAATACAGTATGACATGAGAGAAACGCTCAAGATTTTCAGCAATTCTGCTTTCGCTATGGAACGATTGTGGCATCCGAAAGTATTTCCAAAAAAAATGCTCTTTCCTTAGAATAAATATGTAATAAGCTTCATGTTTATGGTTTTAGAATGAGTTTATGTACATACATATTATATATGAAGGCTAGTTTTACAAATTTAGGCCCAGCCTGTGATAAATATTAATAACTTTCAATATGGAGCGAAATAGTGTTTATTTATACAGAGCAGCATTACAAAATTAGTCACCCTTGGAAACGTTGATAAGACAATTAAAAATTCGTGCAATAAAATGCTTAGAACACTCATGTTGGCTCGGGTAATTTCGATAACAGAAAATTATATTCAGGTTTGACGTCATATGTTTAAAGTGGAAGTCAAGTCCGTTCTGCGCATAGGTTCTGCTCATAACAAGTGAGGGACCTCTGATGTGAAAATTGCCTAAATTTCGCGTGTTTCTTACTTATTCTAAACATAAACTCTAGTTCATATTAATTTAGAAGCGTAACGAACCTAAATAGTGTTAGAAATTCAGACAGCACATCGTATTTTAAAAAAATAGTGAAGTTCAAAATGTAAATAAACCGTTTGTTTACATACGGACTTGACTTCCACTTTAAGCCAAGATGCTGGCTGAAAAATTTGAAAAGGGATTCGTCCACATGTATTCGGCGTTTTCGCCCACTGAAAACGGATAAATTTGAAAACGCTCTCCAGAGTGTGGATAAATTTGAAAACGCCGGCTGAGCGGATACGTGTGGACAACTTATCAGGATAAATTTGAAAACGATGATGTAACGTTTCAAGCCCAGTCCAACACGCGCTCATGGCCGATAATAAATACATTTTAAAATAAAGCACTTCTTAGAACATGGGGAACAAACAAGCTGTAGTTTCGATACTATCCGTCCTAAAATTGCGCGTTAATAGCGACCTCAGTTATGTAGTACGTATTTAATTCTGCTATGGGTAACAGGAAGTTCTTTAATTTAACCTCGTTTTCGATAGGCATCGTGACCGTAATTATATACAACGTATTATGAGGTCGGTTGATTTCTTCATTAACGGAAATGAGTGCAAGATGTCCGCTACTGGTATTGACTAATTTGCAATTTTCGTCTTTAAGATATGGATACAAAACTTAACTATAAAATACACACACATGCATATAAAGTGGAAAGCCAAAATTAAAAATCGTCGAATTTCTAGGCTTGTAGGATGTTTGCCGCGACCTCTGGTCAATAGGGCAAAATTAATGGTTGTGTTTAGCTCTTCAACTGCATGCAAACTGAGTCTGGTTTCGATATTTTTTAACACATCATAATTAAGCTATTCATGCTTCAGTTTTTGGGCAGATGTTTAAATGCATAATGGCATGCACTAATGCATTTTGGAAGGTTTCAAGGCTAGTTTAATCCTCGGAGATACGAAATACATCACAGTGTCAAAGAGTAAACTCCTCAAATTTTACGGAATGAACGTCACATTTGCTACAACACAAGAGCCAACGACGTCTTTTAAAGTCACCGCTATACTTTTGTGTGTTGTGAACGTTTTCTTCACATTTGCAGGAATATTTTTAAACTCAGTTGTCATACTGAGTTTGCTGAGCTCACAGCTGCGAAGAAAATTATGTTACTTCATGATTCTTATTTTGGCGTGCATCGACCTCGTTGTGGTTGCCGTCTTTCATCCACTGATAACTTTTGAAACTATATATAGCTGGATGTTCAAAAGCTTTACCGAGAATGTTGAATCGCGATATTTACCTCATTTTTTTACGTTATCTTTGACCGCGCTTTTGACGATGACTCTTGAGAGATATCTCGCTTTGGCGTATCCATTTGTCCACGAGATATTTATAACACGATCGAGATTGATGGCTCTTTTTGTGATTTTTCAGTCACCGTTTGGAGTATTGTATATTTTACGACTTTACGACTTGAATGAAGAGCAACAAGCAATAACATTGGCTTTCTTCTCAGTTGTTTTCCTCGTCATATTCTGTCTGAACGTCAGAATATTCTACATCGCAAAAACACTGAGGAAGGGGATCGTCATACCTATGGGAAGTTCAGATCGGTCCGAACAAAGATATATTGAAACAAAGAAATCTAAAGTCACTTCAGGAAAGTTTTCTACCTGTTTATTAGCGGTTATATGTATGCTTATTTGTTATTGTCCGTCCGGTGTTCTATTTGGAATGGAGATAAAAAAACAAGAAGACTGGAGTGAGCAAACTTGGCGCATCGCTGAACTTTGCAAAGAAACATTAATCACTTTAAACTCAAGCTTAAACTGTTTGATATTTTTCTACAAAAACAGCGCATTACGACGACACGGGAGAAGGATAGTCGCGAAATGTTTTCACATAGATCGGTAGCTATATACTCAAAACCAATGAATTGTTTTTTTGGATGCAAGTTCGATCCAAAAAAATCATTATTGAACGCTGAGCACGTCCGCAGCTAAAATTACGTAATAAATACAGTCTTACAGAATATTGAGAATTAGCCGGTGCTTTCTGACCAATCAGGAACGAGACAAAGTTCGAAATGTATAAGTATAAGTCATTACATATATTAATAATTAAAAAACGTCGTCATTTCAATTATTTTGTATGACTTATTTACTTTAATTTATATGCAGGACATATAGTTAAATGGCTTAAAAGGAAAAATCCTTAATCTGTTGTACAGTGCAATCTAGAAATTAATCAAGAGTGCAGTCAAGAGTAGACTGGACGTAGCTATAACATTACATTATTGAATTATTTATGATTTATTGGCTCATGATTATGAATGGATATAATAGGTGTGCAATAAAGATAAAAAATTCGACGTGCATATGAGTCGATACATTAACCGCTTTTCTCGATGCTCTTACACGCATGGATGGCCAAAGCCATGGCTGTGAGTGTTGGATTGCAGGAGCTTCCAACGGGAATGACACCGCAGGTACCAAGGTACACATTCTCAAAACCCCACACCCTTGAGTTGGTGTCAACAACGCTGTCTGTAGGACTGTTGCCCATTCGGCATGTGCCCTGAAAGAATCCGAGAAATATCGGGCGAGTTAATATGTACTATATCAGCAGCTGAGCATTGTGTACATGCAGTGGATACAAACACAGGCCAAAGACAAGTGTTAATAGCGCTTGTCAAATGAATTGATGCATGTATCTACTGTTGTTTAAGAGTTTCGTAACACTACTTGGTAACTTGCACAGAAGTTGTTCACTTTTTTGTTTCACTAAATATGTATCACCCACCGTGATATGTAAAGCTAGCCCTGGCTCTTGAAATGATGGCTCTGACCCGGGTAAGAATCCGCCAAGTTTCCCAGCTGCAACAAGCATATCTTCCATCATTTCGTGAGCAAGATTACGATCCTTATCGGACAATTTGACATGGAAGGTGGGTTGGGGCATTCCAAATGTGTCCCGGTTCAGGTTATCTTCGGACGAGAACGAAACGTGATTTTCAAACTTTGGTTCCATCTTGCCAAACCAACGTAAGTCGACAATCAGACGTGTGTCGACATTTGGAGCCACGCCTCCGTACGAGAATGCATCACGGTGCACTTGACAGTGCCATGGACGACTATCTGACACAGGAATCCAACACTGAAGAAAATTACAATAATTTTATAAATAAGATCGACATCGGCCTGCCGTAGACAGCTAGGATTTCGCAAAATTTTATTAGCTATACCCAATTTGCTGGCCAGTTCGTCGTCAATAAGTCTTGCCCTACTACCTCATAATAAGCATTCATAGTATAGAGTTACAGGCATACAACAGGCATGCTGGGTGGGAGGTTTTTTATATACATGCAAAAGAAGCTGTCCATATTGCAGAATATTTGGTATGTACGTGCGATTTTACGGTAAGGAAATGGTCCAATATACTATTTTCAAAGTATTAGGCTATGCGTTTTGGACCCAAACCATGCCTATTAGTCCGCTCGTAGACAGATAATCTTTTTTCAGATATGGTGGCTATCACAATATTTCACAAAACATCAACATGAACCACAACAACTGATCACCAGCACAACTTATAAGGAAATTCAATTTTCTATATCGGGTTAATTCGACCAGGCCTGCACACATTTTGCGGACACAACAATACGTTTATTTACATACTTGTGGTTGTGGATCAGTATAAGGTATCGGGATTGGATCATTTGGGTGTTTTTTGCGAAACGCATCCACTATCGGTTTCCAATCAGGATTCTTCTCGATGCTATCCACGAGGCTTTGCAGGAGAACTACCTGGCAGAATGCCAGTGGTTGTTCACAGAGGTAATGACCCAAGGCGGGAAGATCGATATCGGAATTGTACATGATTTGAGGTGTGAGAACAGCACCAGCTGCTAAAACGATTGTATCAGCCTTAATAATGAGGTCCTTTTTTTCGAGAAGGTCTCTCACGACGGCATACCGCACCTTTTGCGCCCCCTGGTCCGGATCAGTATATAGCAGCTTCCGGCATTGCCACATTTCCTAATAAATTTGAAAACATCTCAATTTGTTTCAATTAATGTAAAGGTAGCATCTTCAGGTAAATATTTGGCAAAATAGACAGCTACGTACAGGAGGGCATGAAATGGGAGGTAGCTGACAAGAGGGCATGTAACCCAATGCACAATAAGTCGCAGGTGTCGTAAATATGTCAAAGTGGCTGATGTGATAGAATATTTCTATTTGTTTGCGGTCAATTAACAATGACCGATTTCAATACAGTAATAAAGACAAATTTACAACTTGACTATTTCTCATCGGTGAAAATGACTCGTTCACGACAATCACGATTTAATGGAAACCATGCTTTTAATTTTTAAATCACTAATAAAGGGAACCGATTTAGCTAGTTTAATACCAAAATATTAGCGTAGCGGACTAAATCGTCTGGCTGACTACGTACGCTACTGATTCTAAAGCAAGTGTCTGTGACTTTTCATAGCAATATAAATAATTTATTAGGATTTTGATTTCTGTTGAGAAATTTGAGTTATTGAAGTGTACATCCATCCGCAAATTTCGTTGGGAAAAATCATATGGAATGTACGTGATTTGACAACTGAAATCACCAGAAAAATTCTCCAGAAACCGTGAAAAAACGTTTGCGAATGCGTCAACTCTGCCTGTAAGTAATATTGAAAAGATTTAAAAAGCAGTTCCGAGCGTCTCCGAAGGCTCGAAATAGCGGTAAGAAAAAGTGATTTCATTCTATGTCTTCAAAGCCATATTTGTAGCGCATTTATAAACACTGCATTATAGAAACTAAGAATAAAAACATCCCGAAAGTTCCAGAAGTTGCATCAGTCAAAGGTCACAGTTAACAAATTTATCGTCTAAAACATTTTGCTTATCAAATCAACGACAGCTTCCGAAGCAACGACAGTTTCCGAACTTTTATTTGAGGCACGTTTTATTAAAAAAATATATGTCGCCAGCCACAAGACGTTTTCGTGTTCGGAGTGATTGAAATTTAAGATGTATTTTCAATTTAAATGGATTACAAAGTTTAACTTTTCGCGGGTGTTCATAACTTTTAGGTTGGAACTTTTGTTTTCGAAAAATATTCTGAAGTCACCCGGTTGAAAACAGGAAAATTTATATGAATTCCATTTCGTTCGATGCTTTAAATGCTAGAACGCTTTTAACGATTGTTGTGTCTAATCATCTTGTATATTTCGCCTTTTCTTAAATTATATTTTATCAATTGATGGGCATGTTTTGTTCCAAAAGTTTATTTAGGTTTTCCATCATAGCTCTATATTTTGGCGCGTGCGCATCTTATGGAAAGCCTACTTGAAGAAAAATACCTGACCGAATTATCTTTTATTTCCATCTTGAAAACGGTCATTAAAATGTGTGGACGTAATACAAAACACGTCCTGTAACGCATCTAAATCTCAACGTGACGTCGCGTTTCACATACCTTCAACTGAAAGGTTCCATCATTTTCTTTCAATTTTGCTAGCATGTCGTCCCCAAGTACCGTATCAGCACCACTCCATGTGATGTATTCTGGTGCGTCAGTACGTCTAACTCCAGCCAGCGGCAAGTACTGAGGTATTTCGTTCGGCTCATTGAGATGTGGGTAAGCCTCGCGAAGGGTATCTCTTACCAGGTGGTTACGGATGAAGTGCCTTATTCCGCCCGGGGCACCGCCACCAGGATGATCATCAATCTTTGTATCGTCAAACATGTTCTGGTTTGTCTTGAGAAGTGATTCAGCTTCGCGGTACAGTGAATCCCATGTCTCAGAGTCAATAAGATCGCTACGATATTCTGGGTATTCCCGCGGGGTGCATGCAGTCCAGTGGGTAGACATTCCACCAACGGCATAAGTGGCGGCGGCTTTTGGAAGGTTCACGAAAGGATCTTGTCTCGGATTTTTATTTTCAGAGACAAATCTAAAGAGAAATCGCACAGTTTAAGCAATAATAACCGGTCTATCTATCTGAAGGTGAAAATGACCATAGTAAGTGTACCCTTTATATTTATCTCGATCCACTGCGAAGGCACCAGGATCCAACGTTGGAACAGCGCTATCGTCCGGTGGTACCGACAGAGTGTGCAAGTGACCTTCTATCACACCAGTAAACTGGTTGACATTCCGCTGGTATAAGAAGGAGTTTTTCAAATGCCAGCCAGGAATCTCAGAGAGCTGGGCGCCAGCATCGATCATGAAGACACGGCGTCCCTTTTCATGCAATTTCCTTGCATATGTGCATCCAAGCGGACCAGAACCAACAACCAGCACATCAACTTCGAAATCATGATCGCTGACATTATTCGACGTGCTGTAATTTGCTGTTCTGGCTAAATTGTACAGAAATGCGGGAAAAAGTAATCTTCGTCTTAAAAAATATTAAAATGCATCTTTGATTATGATCATGTGATCGGTTTCCAAATTGAAGAAAGGTAAAATGAAGAAATTACGAAATTTATGGATAAGAGAATATATATTTTGGCTCCTTACGGCACCCTAAACAGACAACATTGAATTTAGTAAAAATAATGAAAACAATCTCATACCATGGAACGATCTTCTATTTGAAGAAAGAGATCGAAACAGAAGGCTTCTCAGGTAAACTGCACCTGTGGCTGCACGGAGCATGATCAGTAGAAAGGTAAACGTCACGTTTCAGTACCTTAATACAAATTTATTTATGCAGTGTATATTTTTAAATTAACGTTTGTGAACTGTATACAATGCCTGAAACAATATAACGTTTACCTAGCGGCTATATTCTCGAAGTCGAATTAGGCCGCTATTCGAAAGGCAAAATTGCAATCAAATTTTCCACGTCTATATATAAAAGGAAGATGATGGTAAAATCAAGCATTGACAGGAGAAGTACTCTTCAGTTAATTCCTTCATTCGTTCGATACTTTAAATGTTAGAACGCTTTTAATTATTGTTTGGTCTATCCGTTTTGTATATTTTCACTTTTACCGAACTTATATTTCATCACTTAATGAGCATGCAAGACCTCGCGAGGGCGAGGCTGTTAGCTCAACAAGTAACTCTCGTGTGCGGATATTTTTCGTTAGGAATTCGCCTCGAGAGGCAAGTTTTTCAGGTGTGCGAATGGTTTTCGAACTGCACTAACTGCCTCGCGGGGTCGTCAGCTCAGCTGATAGCTCTCGTGTGCGATGGGCATTGACTGCGCACGACCACTATTCCTTGCGATAAAAAATTGAGAAATGTTGGGCCACAACACAAATTAGGTCTGCTGCCTCGCTCGCTCGCTTAAACTGAGATCGCTCGCTCTGTGGCAATTATACGCAGTGAGTTGGGACACTGACGTCAATTCAATTTTACGGATAATTAAATGCACGTCAACCTCGCGGAAGAAAATTGTACGCGTTCGAATTATGATAAACATAACATCAGTCGGGCAAAATTGGAGTTTAAATTGCAATGATCTTTTAGTATTAAATAAATTAATATTACTAACTGGTAAAATACATCAAAGGCCTTATGGTGGGAAAATATTATAACAATTCTATATATACGTGAATAATATGTTACAATGATAGCTTTTCTCAATATATATATATATATATATATATATATATATATATATATATATATATATATATATATATACACCCGTTTGCAAAAACGTTGGCCGCAGATAGATATATAGATAGATACCCGAAATAATAATTAGAATTGCATATGTTGTGTAATATGATTGAAATCCCATGCAAATGTAATCATATGCAATTCTAATTAGACTTCGAGTATCTATCTATCTGCGGCCAACGTTTTTGCAAATGGGTGTATATATATATATATATATATATATATATATATATATATATATATATATATATATATATATATATATATATATATATATATATATATATATATATATATATATATTGTTGAGAGTGCTCAACATTTAAGGAGCGAATATATTGACTTGTTTTGATAACCGGATATTGCATGAAAAATCTAGACCTCCTGTCATAATCCTTCTAGATTTTTCATGAGGTCTAGATTTTTCATGCAATATCCGGTTATCAAAACAAGTCAATATATTCGCTCCTTAAATGTTGAGCACTAACAACCTAGCGACAATGTCGGGGAAAACGGTCTGCGCCATCTAGTCGTCGAAGGTACGGTATTGCGCTCGTACGCTGCCTATCCCTTAGGCTTTCTAGTATTAGCCCCTCCTATGGGAGTTGAGCACTCTTAAGGTTGTTATTAATGGTAATTTGAGACCTTGCATGTTAAGTGGGAGTCACCTCGAATGAACCACAATATAATCGGGTGGTAGTCTATATGACTTGATTCTAATGAATAAAATCTCATCTTTGTTGTAGTTGTCCTTCCTCCTTTTAAACCAGCCATTGCTCAGTCCTAAGCCTGAGATGTGAAATTGGTGAGGGGAAGGATTATGACAGGAGGTCTAGATTTTTCATGCAATATCCGGTTATCAAAACAAGTCAATATATATATATATATATATATATATATATATATATATAAATATATATATAATAAATACATATATATATATATATATATATATATATATATATATATATATATATATATATATAGTCATTTCAAAAAAGGTTGACCTTCCAAAATATATGAACCTTGAACATTGAGCGTGCAAGGGATGATGGGTAGCAGCTTATTTTTTGCCTTAAACAGTGCAAAAATTGAATTTTAGCAATGGCTACAGCCAGTGAGATGCTGTGTAGGTCACTTTTCATTGTTCCAAGCGATATTTGCGGGATTAAACACCCAAAATAAGTTGCTACCCATCATCCCTTGCGCGCTTAATATTTAAGGTTTATATATTTTGTAAGGTCAACCTTTTTTGAATTGACTATATATATATATATATATATATATATATATATATATATATATATATATATATATATATATATATATATATATATATATATATATATATATATATATGTATCGGATTAGTATACCGCTAGACTATATCGAACTCTTTGCCTATTGCCATGGACATTTGTTTTACTAGTTCCAGGCCTCGATATTGTTAGTTTGCGAGGCAAAATATTAAAGATAGCTGACCGTCCGAGGAGGCAGGTTAAGGCACCGGAACGATTTTCTAGCGATTTATTGAGAGTATCTAAGATTAAAGATACTAAAAGTGCAAAAGAAGACAGGAAACTATATGATATTAATGTGATAGATGTGGACCTGGAAGGGAAGCGGGTAAAAATTCACTACGTCAAACTACGCAAACCAGTATCGCAAAGATGTACAGGAAGAACATACCGAAAAACCCGAACTTCAAATTTGTCAAAAAACAACAATTTTGATACCAAACGAATGGAAATTCTTTCAAGATTCTATTTGTGTTTGTGCATTTTCAATCTGCGCATGCGTTTCCGATTTATGGCGCCAAAACCCGAGCGTGATCGCCAAATTAATTTATTGTGTAATAGTATAAATACAAAACCACCGCGCGGAAAAAGACCCCAAAAACCCGAACGACGAATTAGTCCAAAATTTTTAGAATTGGGCTAGTTTAAAAACTAGGACAAATTGCTTTTTAAAAATGGATGTGCATATTTAGTTTTATAAACTGTATTCACAATAGAAAGCAAAAACTCCCATATTTCAACAAAGCGGGCGCCTCTTGCGAAAATTTGATACATTTATATAGGCATTCGTCCTAAAAGAGTTCGATGTGGCAAGCTTTATCACCCAAAAGGGCTAACTGATACCAAATAAATGACTGCAAAAGAAATAGCGCCGCCTGCTCTTATGCGATAAATGAGAAACCTACACAATACACGTTGTAGATAAATGTTATTTCTTCATGATCATCAAAAGCTGGTTAGCATAGAGAATTTGTAAACGACGATTGTATACCAGCGCGTTTCCGCTGTTTGTAATCGAACAGCATGTAGTTCTACATTGGCTTCTTTCTGGATTTGCCTGTTACTCAAACAAAACTTGCAATCCTCAATACGCACCTGAACTAATTTCTTTTTCGAGTTTCTGGTTACACGTTGTATTAGGAACGTGTCGGGAAATTGTCGAGACGATGACTGATGCACGATGTCCTTAGAACTCTTGGAACGGCTGACGGCTCTGTTGAAGATCGGTGATCACTGATGAATTAAGTGCTTTGTTACTTTGAATAAATTTTCTTCGTCAATGGCCGCATAGTACAATACATCGCCGACTGTACGTCAGCGACATATGGGGATCAGGCTTCAAGGTTTCCTAGTTATCGTGCTATAGTTACGTCCTATGGCTATCCGATTTACTTTAGCAGAGGAGCAGAAAATCGACAAGAGCAAAAATAGCTCCTAAAAACATATTTACCAATCTATACCAATGGGTATAGCACATGATTATACGCGGTGAACCCCATGGGACATTGACGTCAGCCAATTCAATTTCACGGATTATTAAATACACCTGCATCGTATGTGCACTTAAGTCGCGTGAAAGGAAGAAATTGTACGTGTTCCAAAAGTGTGAAACATAAATAACATCAGCTGTGCTAAATTGTGTTTCAAATTAATTCTTTTACATGAAATAAATATTACCAACTGCTAATATAAAGAGATAGTCTATTTGGTGCGCTTCGCGAGTCGTGACAAGTAGTCAAACAAAAACACAAACACACACGAATAATTATAATAAAACGTAAAATTTACGAATAATTTAAATTCTGTGCCATAGAGCTAGAGGAACAAAAAACACAACAGAAATCCAAACAACTTCAAAGACTATATAGAAACACAATGCCGATAGAAAAAACAAATTCTGAATTGACAAGACATTTCGAGAATGCAATAATATAATTATGATTCAAACAGGACACAGGTTAAGACTGTAAATTTTTTACTTTATTTCACAGTCATCTTTATTCTGTCTGAATTCTGTCGAAAACTTTTACAGTCTCTGACTCTCACTGACCCGTGTCTATTTACAGTCTCAAACTATGTCTTGTTCGAATCTTATATTATTGACTTTCAAGATATCTTGTCTATTCGGAATTTGTTTTTTACTATCCACTTTGTGTTTCTATATAGTCTTTGAAGTTGTTTGGATTTTTGTTGTTTTTCGTTCTTCTCTACGGCACAAAATTTTCTCACAGTGTGCGATTTCTCTTTAGAAAGTATAAAGGTGCACTTTAATCATTCGTAAAAATTATGTGTTATATAATTATTCTTGTGAGTTTGTGTTTTTGTTAACGTTTTCTTCTGGAGTCACTCCTTTTTCGGTCGAGTTGCGCCTGTTTTGTCGCAACTAGCGCCTGTTTTGTCGCGACTAGCACCTATTTTGTCGCGACTCGCGAAGCGCGCCAATTAGACTATCTCGCTAATAAACAGCAAGTATTTATATGCATGATCGAGTGATTCGAGTCTTATGGCGATTTGGCTTTTTGTAATAATATAATGAATTTTGAAACAAATGCTTGTGATTCTTTCGTTTGAAATCGATTTCTATATTTTATTGTGTGTTATTGTTCTACAAACCAATAGCAAAACTTATTCGTAAAAGGAAGAGGGAGTTATATGACCCGAGCCCTCCCGAGTACCTATCTTAGCTTGATTTTCGCAACATACGACAGCTTTTCGCTGTTTACCGGTAGCTGATGTCAATTGGGGCCATGCTCTGTTCAGCCACCTGTTACCTCTATACTTTCTGGTAATAAAGTGATTAAATTCAAATTCAATTGTTGCATATTCTGTACGCATCTCCAGCTGATCTGAGAAAGAGAATTAGCGAGACGAAAATTAAACTCACTATCAGACCGCGGGGAATTGTATTTATTGCAGGCTTTCTGACTTCTTGGTATTTATCCCCGCCAGCAGCACTGTTTGGAAAAGGATCAGTATTCTAATCTGTTTTGATTTCTTGTTTCCGGCAACTGGTCCAATTTGAAATAAAAATTATACGCAAGTTATAAATTTGCGGTTAATGGAGTAATGTATGTTCTAGAGGGTCCTATTTCACATTACATATGGACCATCTCTGGTCTAGCTGTCATAGTTATCGCATGCACTAATTTGAGCTCGGACAAGGTCAAGGCCTCAATAGAACAAGGCAGTCTTTAGCAGCCATGTTAATAGTCATAAAGTCCAAAATCTGACCGAACTCTGGCATTTTAGCATGTAAACAACGTACGTATGCAAACTTGTGTTACGGCCAATTGAATCTCCCCTGACGGTCTTTCCTTCACGTGGACAAGAACAATGGCCCTCTTTTTCTGCAAGGATTTTGCCTGCTCCCCATGCATGCATTGGTCATTCGCAAGACCTCAGCCAATACGTCCACAACGCCGGTCAAATATTTAAAGGTCTTTTATCGAAAGGCAGCATACATATCTGTGTTTCAAAATAATTATAATAACCATGCAAAAACTGCAAAAATAACTACCACCCACCTCCCCACAGCGAAGGACCGACCGCTGTGGCATCCGCATGCATGTAAATATACTGATACGTTGTGGTTCATTCATATGTTATCTTTAGATAGTCTATCAATATTCTTCTTGTAACTTGTAATGAATTGCAATGATTAAACAAGGGCAGGAAGTGCTGTCCTTCTCCAATATTTGAGTCGAGATGACTGACCTGAACAGGGATCCGCCTGTTCCTCTGTTATTTAGAGTTCCACCTGTTCCTTTAGAAAAACCTATAGTTTTTGCATGCTCAGTCGGGTTTTCAGTGCCCTTATATACTGTCTCAGTATAACTAATGGTGGTCCCTAGATCATCAGGCCTCAACTCACTGGACAACATGCACAGAGCTGGCTCACACCCTCTGCAACTTAGAGGTCCTCCTGCTCCTTCAGAAAAAACTTAATTGGAGCCTCTAGACCTTTTTTTCGAGCGCTTCCTGCCCAATTTATATGCCACAAAAATGTCTCATTGTGTCGTTGTTTTGCTAAGTTGCCAGACGTTCGAAATCCTTATAAAGATTCTCAACATATAAACTACATTAACATGGGTTTTGTCCTTATTCTGTACAACACACATAACTCTCGCAACAAAATTAGGCATTTCTTTTGCTTGCGGGTATTCATCACCCGCGAGGCGGCGTTATTTGTTTCAAATGATTTCCTGTTTGTGTTAAAATTATCAAGGGCTCTATAAAAAGTATTTTCTCGTATTTCTCATAATACTATAGCTCGCTATTAACGACGCCATTATAGCTGTAGTATACGTTGCTGTTCCGGAAAGGTATGAACTAAATAAAATTTATAAAAAGTAAACTTTTTCTAATACTTGCCAGATCGATTTCCCCGTAGCCACGACTGCAGCAAAAGCATAACAAGGGGATTATGTACTGGAGATGAAAGTTTGAAATTAATCGTATTTACAAAGCATGCAAACAATTGAAAAGATGCGGAAGTTTTGGCAAAATTCTTAGAATGAAATGTTTTTTTTTATAATTTTCTGACAGTTCAACCAAAGAATAAGTCACAAATAATCGCATTAAACTGAGGACATTAACGCCCATTAAATGTTATAGCTTGTTGATCACATCTATACATCGTGCAGTTTTACACGCGAACACCGAGAAAATATTCTACACAATCGAAATGTGAGAAGCGTTATACCAGTGGCGCAAAATTGTATTTTAAATTATTTTTTATCATCATACAGTCTCCACATCGTGCGTGGAAATATTATTGCCCCCTTCGAAAGAAATACACTAGCTGCAAGACAGAACGCTGCAAACACTGACGGTGAATATAAACCCCAAATATTTAGTCCCAGCGCGAAAATAAACCATATCATAAGCCATGAAAACAAGCAACGTTTCGTTTCAACGTGGACGGCCTAAAGCTAAAGGGATCAATGCTGATCAAGTTGATTAGCCCAAACATACAGCTAAAGCCTAGCATCTATTTATACCATTTTGCAAAATAACATAATTATATACATTTGGGGTAACTATATTAGAGCTTGTACGTTGGACACCTATATATTTGCGTTCTTCATTAAAAGCTGGATTAAAACATCACGTATAATGCCATGCAACGTTTGTATCACCGCGCGTTTCCTTGTTTAAATTTCTAATTGAAACGTGTTTAATTTGCCTTTCGCACAAGCAAAACTATAGTAATCATGTACATACCTATCTAAATATATCATCGTACCTGAATTTAAATCTCTCACGTTTCTCGTTAAAATTTCCAGGAAAGTGCGGAGAAAATTATGATGACTGATGGACGTTGATGTTCTCATACCACGCGGAATGGTTCTGTTGCCAGTCGGTCGCTGTGGTCACAATATAATATCGCTCAAGAGCATGCTCCTGCATGCAGGTCAAAGTGATGATAAGTTATGTGGATTTGAGCCCGCCCGAATACACACCTTGACTTGCCTTTAGGACCTCGCAAACTGCAAAGGTCCGATGATATTGTATACTTTTGACGCTAACCACGAATGCTTGTAACGCAAATATGGCGGTGTTTACATGGTTCCTGTTCAGGTATATGCATATTTTAAAAAATAGTGTAAAAATGAGAATCATCACATGGCATATGTGAATAGGTAATTGATTTTTGCCACAAGAACACATATGGTAAATATAATTTTCGCCAATTCGTAATCATTAATCACTTTTTTAAGCATATGACACTTCGTGGGATGGAAATTTAATATTTTGTACAGGTGAAAATTTACCTGTCGCATTTAAAAATATATGCATGCTGTAGGGAGGTGCGAGCTCTTATGTCACCACTCAACCGCTATTATAAAATCGGCTCCACAACCTAAATCTGGGGGTATTTTTAGTGTTATTATTTAAAACAGTACCCCTCAAGGAAAGTGGCCGTTTTTAAACTATTTACAACTACTTAAAAATACATCATAAATGATCTTAAAAATGTTGAACTATAATTATGCAATATTTACACAGAACACTTGACTTTCGCTGAGGTATTTAACTGATATGCATGGATGCAATAATATCAACTGTCATTCAAACTTTTCAAATAGTTATAAATTAAGCTCAGGTTTGAAATGACTAGATAATGACTTGATATTAGCATATATTTGCCGTTTAGGCTATCTGGTAGACTATTCCATTCGTTTTTGGCTCC